GTACACCATCAAGGCATCCTCTTCTTTATTTCCATGGGTCTCGCATCTCGTTCCAATCACCTCTCGGCCAACTCCCACAAATCGTTCTTTTCGCCCTTTCCAGCGCGCTACCTGACCAAACCCGAGTTCTTCTAAGGCCTCGCATGGCCCCGTCCTGCGCCCACTTCGCCTCACGCATGGCAACTCGCTAATCTCACCCCGAAGGCCCCTCACGACAGTCTGAAGAAGGCCCCAGCAAGCCTCACGAACCCTTCCGCCGGAACCCAACTGCCCAAACGGACAACCAGGGAACCAACATAGTGCACCATGTAGGCATCCTCTGCTTTCCTTCCCTGGGTCTCGCAGCCTTCCAAGACGGCTTCAGAAGGACCCAGGAACGCCTCAAGAGAGCCCCCAGAGGGGGGGCAGGGACCGACAGTTCGGGCTCCCCGCCCGAAGAGACCCCGCCTCCAACACGTACCGCCGTTTTTTGGTGCCACCTTCTCCTCAGAAACGTGCCCGGCACAACCTCCCACGAAACCCGAGGACCCCAGGAGACTCACGCCGCAGGTCGTCCAATTCAGTCCTCATACAGTCAGACACGTGCCCGACAAAACCTCCAGCACAACACGAGAGCCCCCAGGACCTCCACATCCCCCAAACTCCATCCTCTCGCCCGTCCTGCGACATCGCGTCCCCTCCCTTCCTGTGGCCCGCATGGAAACGTGCTGAGCCTACCTCGTGACTCACATGGTCGCGTGCTGAGCTCCCCCCCTCCCTTCCATGTGGCTCGCATGGACACGTGCTGAGCTCACGTCCTGCCTCGCTTGGTCGCGTGCGCTCCCCACCTCCAACACGTACCGTCGTTTTTTTGGTACCCTTTTCCTTATAAACGTTCCCTACACACCCCCTCACCATACCCGAGGCCGCCAGGGGCCTCCCAGGGCCCTCCGACTCCCTTGCCTCGCCCGCCATGTGCACCCGCGACACCCTCCCCCCGCCGGTGGCTCGCATGGGACCGTGCTGCGCTCACCTCGTCACTCGTACGGTCGCGTGCTGAGCTCCCCTCCAAGACGCACTATCTTTTTCTCCGCTGCCTTTCTCTCCGGCCTGCCGGTGGTGGCTCGCATGGGAACGTGCTGAGCTCACCTCGTCCCTCGCATGGTCGCGTGCTCAGCTCACCTCCAAGACGCACCATCTTTCCTCCCGCTACCTTTCTCTCCGGACTGCGGTGCAACATGCCCCCAACATGACTTTCACGTTGCCCCATGGCCCCATGGCCTCCCCTGGAGCCCCCAGGATCCGTCGCCACTTGGATCCGACCGGGCGCGCGCACCCAAGGCCTGCTGCAATGTGTTTCACGTCTGGCGACATTCCTGCATCGCCATACCCCGAGCACACATGCCTTCGTCGACGCGTTGGCCGCGCACACTCACCAAGGCCTTCATTTCGGATTGGATTGCGACTCATGGCGACAATTGGGAATCGTCTCTGACAACGGGTCTGCAAACATGGAAGCCCCGTAAAGCCCAGCGTCAGGGCCTCACCACCATTACCGTGGAAGACTGGTGCATCGCCCTCGAAGTGCCCTTCAGAGGGTATCGCAATGACTTGCGCTCCGAGTACGTGCAACGGCTCCTCACAGCAGCGCGCCTGCTTCCACGAAGCTCGCCATCGGAACGCACGACTCCAACCAAATGGCCTCGACACCTCACTACCGACTGCATCACCACATGGATTGCGTCTCAAGGAGACGCCTGGGAAGCGACCCTGGAGTCGGGCTTACAAGCATGGAGCCCTCGAAAGAGGCAGCGAAACGGCAGCACTGACATCACACTCGAAGATTGGTGCATCGCTTTGGGCGTGCCCTTCAAGGGGTACAACGACGACCTGCGCTCCGAGTACGTGCAACGGATCCTCACAGCAGCGCGCCTACTTCCACCAAGCTCGCCTTCGGAACGCACGCCCCAAACAAGATGGCCTCGCCACCTCACCACCGACTTCATCACCACATGGATCGCGTCTGAAGGGAACGCCTGGGAAGCGACCCTGGAGTCGGGCCTACAGGCATGGAGCCCTTTAAAGAGACAGCGGCACGGCAGCAGGGACATCACACTCGAAGATTGGTGCATCGCCCTCGGCGTCACATTCAAAGGATTCCGCAACGACTTGCGCTCCGAGTGCGTGCAACGCATTCTCACGGCAGCTCGGTCGCTCGTGCAAGCATGGCCGTCCGACATCACCACCAGTTTCATACGCGCATGGGCGCGACGGCACACGTCTGATTGGGAACTCAAATTGCGACACACCCTCTCCACGTGCCCCATGGCATCCCACCGGCGAGGACCCAAGGACACCTCCGTCGAAGACTGGTGCGTCGCTCTGAACATTCCTCTTCACAGCTACGACGAGACTCACCGACAACGCCTGACGGACTGCATCGTCGCAGCCGCCGCCAAGATATACAGTGCCCCTGCCACACACGCCGAGCCTCCAGGCCCTCCCGACCCGCCTTGGCCTCAGTGGCCACCTCTCCTCACCCGCGCATTCATCCAAGACTGGGCCCACAATGCACCCCCCACTTGGGAGACACAGTTACGACGCGGACTGTCCGTCTGGAAACCCGCGAGAAAGCAGAGAGGCCCCGACGAGGTTACGATCGAGGACTGGTGCGCAGCCCTCCTCATTCCGTTCAAAGGCTTCCGAAACGATCTGAGGCCCCAGTACATCCACCAAATCGTCGACGCAACTGCCATACTGCGAGCGGAGCCTCAGTGGCCCCACCACCTCGACGCGGCTTTCATCAAGCAATGGGCTCGCCAGCATCCGGAAGATTGGGAACGACACTTGTGCGCCTGGCTGCCCACGTGGAAACTCCACACCTCCCGCGCTGACGCCCCTGTCACTATCACAGCCTGGTGCATAGCGCTCGCCCTACCCTTCGACAAGCAACTCTGTGCCGCTCACGTACAGGAGTACATCGAGAAGATCGTTCATCAGGTTCACCTGCTGCTGCGCATCCCAATTTGGGAACAACCTCTCCGCCTCTCCGCCGTCGTGCAGTGGGCTAAGCAACATCCAGACGTCTGGCCTTCCTTACTCCAGCTCGCTCTCGACACTTGCCCTTTGCAGTCCACGCACAGCGACGTTGCGCTCGACCCCGCCCTCGACGCGTGGTGCCTCGCCTATGACATTGACTCCGCCGACCTGGGAAGACATCGTCGGCAACGTGAATGCCCCTGTGCCGTGCATCATGATCAACAACTAGTGAGTTTTGAGCCCGAGTTCGACGCTACCCCTGTTGAGCTTGTAGACCGTTCATCATGTGTGTCCTCCACATGTTGCGATCTGAGGCACCCAAGAACCCGTGCAGAGGCCCCAAGAGGCCGCTAAGAACCTTCCAGAGGCCTCCAGCAAGCCCCCAGAAGCGCCCAAGGTGGGCGCAGTACTGCCCCAAGATAACCCCAGGGCGGCTGGCGGTTCCTCGACAAAGCCTCACAGCGTCAAACGGACAACAGGGGAACCTGATGAGACCCCAAGTGACGCCCAAGAAGACCCCAACAGGCCTCAAGACCTCATGACGCCTCCATAAAGCCCCGACAAGCCCCCAAGAGAGCCCCATAACTGCCCCAAGATCCCAGGACTGCCGGGAGCGCCTCGACACAGCGTCAGAGCGACAAACGAACAGCCCCGGGACTCCCTCAGGAGGGCCCCGGGACGGCTGAAGGACCTGAGGAGGCCCCAAGAGGCCCCCAAGCGTCACAGCGACAAACGGACTGCCCCGGGACTTCCTGGCTCGTACGGCAATTGCCTGAGCTCACCTTCCGAGGTCTTCAGCAAGCCCCCAGAAGCGCCCAACAGGGCCTCAGGACAGCACCAAGAGGGCCCCCCTCGACAAAGCGTCAAGGCGTCAAGCGGACAACACGGGAACCCATGCAATGCGCGTAAAGCAGCACAGCGTCACTCGGACCACACTGGATCCAATGTAATGCGCTCCTTGGCCTTCCTCTTCTGGGCTCGCATGGAAACGTGCTGAGCTCACCCCGTGGCTTGCACGGTCGCGTTCTGAGCTCACCTCCAAGACGCACTGTTGTTTTTCTGGCCGCCTTTCCCTCTGGACAGCTGTCGCAGAGAAACCCCAAGCGAGTTTTCGTGTTGCCAGAAAGCCTTACAAGATGCCTCCAGGAGGCTTCAGTGCGGCCGCATGCGGCCCCCGACCGCCGCAAGTTGTCCAATCCAGTCCTTATACAGTCAGACACATCCCCGACACAACCTCCAACCAAACCCGACGGCCCCCAGGAGCCCCCAGATCCTCCAAACTCAATTTTCTCGCCCGTCATATGTAACCGCGCCCCCTCCCTTCCCTGTGGCTCGCATGGAAACGTACTGAGCTCACCTCGTGACTCGCACGGTCGCGAGCTGAGCTCACCCCCTTCCTTCCATGTGGCTCGCATGGACACGTGCTGAGCTCACCTCGTAACTCGCCTAGTCGCGTACTGAGCCCACTTCCAAGACGCATCGTCGTTTCGTGGCCACCTTTTCTTCAGAAACGTTCCTGACAACCTCCGACGAAATCCGAGGTTTCGGGTTCTCCGCCCCAATCACCACTCCAGAGGCCCCCAGAAGCTCCCAAGAAGTTCCCAAGAGTCTCAAATAACGCCTGAAGAGGCCCCAAGAGGCCCCCAAGAACCTTCCAGAGGCCTCCAGCAAGCCCCCAGAAGCGCCCAAGGTTGGCGCAGCACTGCCCCAAGATAACCCCAAGACGGCTGGCGGTTCCTCGACAAAGCCTCACAGCGTCAAACGGACAACACGGGAACGTGATGATACCCCAAGAAGACCCCCAGATGCCTCAAGACCTCAAGACGCCTCCAGGAAGCCCCCAGAAGCTCCCAAGAGGGCCCCAGGACTGCCCGTAGCCATTTTGGCTCAATTTGGGGCTCAAGAGCCTTCCGGTCAGGATATCTTGCGCGTGCCCTCTGATATAGTTACTTGCACCGATTCGGCGCTTACCATTGCAAACAATGGACTCGTTCACGAGGCGTGCCTCATCTCAGTGCTTTCACAGCGATGAGTATTTTGAGACCTACACTTTCTCTCACCAATTCGACCAAGCATCAGGTGGCATGTGTACGTCGTTGCCCAGTTGGGGCTCACTGCCCACCATGCATCCGGTCTCCATGCAGTCGCAGCTTGCCCGGCAGGAAAACCACCCCATGTTGCAGTCGAGCGGCGGCGAGTCGTGGAATACTTTTGACGAGTTCGACGACCCACGCGGGCGTCGGCGGGCAGAAATCCAAAGCAGCAGCCCATCCGAACACGCGCAGGATTCAGCCCAGTTGGGCCTTGGCGGCGCCCCCTCTGCGGCCGATGCGCAGCTGCCATCTCGGCCTGGAGGCGTTCTGCTGCTCCATGGCCAGTCGCTGCCGCGCAGGCAGGAAGACCCCCCCATTTTGCAGTCGAGCGGCGGCGAGTCTTGGAAGACCTTTGACGAGTTCGACCACCCGCGCGGGGGCGCTCTGCCTCTGACCACAGTAGGCGCTCTTCTGCTCGATCGCTCCGCGGGGGCGGCGCCAGCCTATTCACCGACCAGGCCGCCCGGCATGCCGCCGCGTTCCACCGCCGAGACGTGGCTGGCCGCGGGCCCCCCAGGCGAGCCAGACCGCGCGGCGCGGGCGAGACAGCCGGCCAGCGGAGGGCGGGCAGGGGCCTCCACTGGCACGCCCGCGGCCGCCACGGCGCTGGCAGACATGCGGGCCCGGCTCCTGGCGCAGGAGCAGCTGCTGGCCCAGGTCCAGCAGCAAGACCTCAGGCGCAGGATCCGCGAGCAGCAGGCCGACCTGGCGGAGATGGAGCTTCAGCAGGGCGAGCTCGTTGACAGCATGCCCGCAGCCACCGAGGAGGCGGCGCCCGCCACCCCTGGCGCTCCAGCAATCACCACGCTCATGATCCGCAACATCCCAATGTCTGTTACGCAGCGTGACCTGCTGGACCTCATCGACAGGGCTGGTTTCAAGAACCGCTACGACTACGCCTACATGCCGGCAACTTTTGACAGCGGTACCACTAGAGGGATCGCATTTGTGAATTTTGCCGCCTCAAGCGACGCCCGCGAGTTTTCCGTCTTGTGGAACGGATCGCGACTGACTGGAGTTGCCGGTGCTGGAACCAGCGGGACCGTGATCGAGGTCACCGCGTCGGCGACGCAGGGCTACTCGGAGAACGTCAGGATGTGGAAGGCGAGCCGGCTGCGCCGCATTAAGAACCCCAAGTTTCACCCTTTCATCGCCCCGAGGCCAGCTGCCTAATGAACGCGCGGTTGACATTTTCATTGGATGCGCGGGATGTGGGGGATGGGGGGGAGCGCGCGGGAGGCCAAGGAGGACGAGGACGAGGACGCGGGCACCGCGCAGCGCGCCCCAGAGCGCGCCGGTTGGCGGCGACGGGCCCACCACGAGCTGCCCTCCTAGCGGGCAGCCCAGCCAGGCCGCGCGATCAAGGCGTGCCATGTGCAGAGAGGGATTTGTTTAGTGCGCTCGCTTGAATCTCTGCACGCAGCCGTGAATCATCATCGGCGGCAGAGCTTCACGTAGTTTCGCATTTGCTAGATCAGTATTCAGTATGAGAAAGTTTCAATGTTTCTAAGTGGGAAGCTTCCCTGGCCACATGAACTCGAGGTGCTCATTTCGAGGGCCCGGGTGCCTGAGGCCTCTTCGACCGACTGGAAATACCTGGTCGGCCGGCCGTGCCCTTCCCACTGACTTTGTTTCGTTCAACATTGTAATATTTGAGGATTGTTTCATGTCAGTCTTTGCTCCACGCTTTCGAGCGAGGGCTGTGCCCACTGCCTCCCATTGTTCATTGAGTACCCTCGCCGCCCCAGCTGCCGTGCGTTCAGTGCGTGGCACCGAAACCTTCGGAGGCCAGCGCTCGGCTGCAGCAGGCGTGTTTTTGTTTTTCTGCCCACGTCGCAGGGCCGAATGCGGGCACTCGAAGCCTTGCACGACTTCTGGGCGCGTGGCACTCGCTGGCGCCTTCACACTCCTCAACTCCTGGGACCCCCCCCGAAAAAAAAGAGGGCCCCAGGACTGCCCCAAGACCCTAGGACTGCTGGAAGCGCCCCGACAAAGCGTCAGAGCGACAAACGGACAGCCCCGGGACTCCCTCAGGAGGGCGCCAGGACGGCTGAAGGACCTGAGGAGGCCCCGAGAGGCCCCCAAGACGACCCCAACAAGCCTCAAGACCTCACCACGCCTCCAGGAAGCCCCCAGAAGCTCCCAAGAGGGCCCCAGGACTGCCCCACGGCTCCAGGACTGCTGGAAGTGCCTCGACAAAGCCTCACAGCGACAAACGGACAGCCCCGAGACTTCCTAGCTCGTATGGCAATTTCCTGAGCTCACCTTAGGAGGTCTCCAGCAAGCCCCCAGAAGCGCCCAACAGGGCCTCAGGACAACCTAAGAGGGCCCCACGACGGCTGGAGGCGCCTCGACAAAGCGGCACAGCGTCAAACGGACAACACGGGAACCAGCAGAATGCGTCCTATAGGCATCCTTTTCTTTGTTTTTCTCTGTCTCGCAATTCACGCGCACTTGTCCTCCAAGGTCGGGGTTCGTGACAATATCAGGTTTACTCCTTAGCAACCTCGAGGAGCCAGCCAACGCTAGCTGTGCCAGCCCGGTGAGATTGCTGCTATTTTCTTACGCTACCTACAGCATTTTCATTTTCGGGCGATGGGCGCGCGATGGCATAAGGGGAAATGGGGGGGGAGGCACGGCAGTCGCTCGGGCACCCTTGGGTTTCATGACGCGGCCCCGCATCCTTCCGAGTCGCCGGACGCTTAGCTCGCTGCAGCATGCCGTGCACGGCGCTCGTTGCTCCTGCCTGCGCCAACTCAGCAGTTCAACGCGACTGCGCTGTTTCGGCGGTCTGCATTTGCGATGCCAGAAAGGGCGGTGGGTGCGTTGGAGGGAGGTGGAGGAGGGGTCGCCCGCTTCGAGGTGCCAAAGGCAGGCCAGCCATGCACTACACGCGGCTACAATTGGCCAGCATCAGCCGTTCACTGCCGGCTGCCGTGCGCGCAGCAGCATGCTGAGCGCGGAATTCGCTGCAGCCCCCTCGCCGTCTCCGTAGCCCCATGGCCCATGCACTTGCATAGCTGTTGGGCCACCGCCATTGGCGCAGATGACGCAAAAGAAACGGGGAGGCGTTGCCACAAGGGGGGGTGGGGGCTGCATGAGGAATGGCGGCCCGCTGCAGTGTTCGGGCCCCCCTGGACTACTGGGCGCGGCCCCGCCGCCTTTTGAACCACCTGGCGCGGTGCGCCAGGCATCGCTTCGCCCGCGTCGCACAGCCTACCGCAGGCCAGCCAGGCACTACAGGCGGCGTCGCGGGCCAGCCATACTTGTGCGCCAGCCCCCGCAAGTTTCGAATGTCCTGCCCACGCGCTCACATACCGCTTGCTTATTCAAAAGGACAAGCAGCATTGATCTGGCCAGCAAGCCTGGCCACGGCAGCCACAGACCAGCAACTTTCCCCCTCGTCTCACCGGTCACCAGCCGTCGCCCGCACTTGCGATGCTGATTCTGAATCTTCGGAGGGGTCGGAGTTGGGGTGGGATGGGTTCCATTGGGGAGGAGGCATGGGGGAAAGAGGCGCGCAGCAGTATATCTCGCCCACCCCACCCCCCTGGGTACCACAGAGCGCGGCCCCGCCGTCTTTGAGCTTCCGAACGCGCTGCACGCTACAGCTACTGTGTATTGTACTCATTTTGGCTCTTGTACCAACACTACTTTTCAGAGCATATGACGTAACCAGCCAGCCATTTTTACCTGGCCAGCCTCGCAGCACCGCAACCACTGGGCGATCTCTGCAATTGCCTGCACATGCGATTATTTGTTGTATCCTGTCAGACAAGCATCACCCAGCTGTGTGAGACACTATGAAGAGGCCAGTCGGCACCGATCTGGCAGTCTGCCCGACCCTATGAAAGACAGTCCAGCTTCTGTTTGTTATTCAATTAATATCGCCGTGTCAATTACCACCTCAGCGCGCAACCGTTCTACTGATATGTGCTGTTTCCTGCGGCTTGGGCATGTAACTAGGGGGCCGGCCTTCAGGGCCTACCCCATCACAGATTATTCGCCACATCACCACTTTGCATCAACAGTGTGCATCCCATCAGTCCACCTTTCATGTTGCCATATGCCTTGCATAATATGTGTTGCTTTACGGCAGAATTGACAAACTTCGGGCGTGGGCACATTGGAGAAGGACCCGGGGTGGCGGAAAAAAATAATAACACTTGCAGTCAGTTTTACAGTTGCCTAGCATCTCCCTGAGGCTTTCACCCATTAGAGCCGACGCGGAGCACTATGCAGGCGAGCTGTTTCAAATTGTAGTTGATTGCGCGGCCATTTGTATGTCGACCCCTCTTGTTCGACCGTTCGATGTTTTGTTCGGCCCATCGGTTTTCGATTCGCCCTTCGGCTTACCTGCCCTCATGAACTGCAGATCAGGCGCATACTCTGTGCCCCTTTCGGGCCTACTTAGTTGACGTATGTGTGCTGCATTTCGCTGTCCAGGTGCGCTCGCCTTGCGTAACTCGTCGCACACTTTGCCTGAGTCGGCCTCCCACTGCGTTCTCTGACAAGCACGCTGAAGCCACCGAGCTAGCGTCTGACCAACGTCAACAATGATGATGATGCTGCTGCTGCTGATGATGATGATGATGCTGATGCTGATGCTGATGCTGATGCTGATGCTGATGATCATGATAATGATGATGATGATGATGATGCTGCTGATGATGATGATGATGCTGATGATGCTGGTGATGATGATGATGATGATGAGGAGGAGGAGGAGGAGGAGGAGGAGGAGGAGGCGGAGGACGAGGAGGAGGACACCCCCTCCCCCCGCCTGCCATCGCTGCTGCTCCCCGCCCTGCGCCCCGTCCCGCCGCGCTCGCCCTCTTGGGCGCTCCCGTCGGCGCCAGGTGTGGCCCGTCGAGGGCAGGCGCGAGGGCCGGCGGTCAAACCGATGGGGGGGGGGGTTCAAGGATCGAGGATCGAGGGGGCATCAGGGATCGAGGCGGATCGAGGAGAATCGAAGAGGTTCGAGGAGAGGCAGCGGCGAAGGCAGGGGGGAGGGAGGGGGGGGAGGGAGGGGGGAGGGGGACCGTTCGGGGCCATGGCGAGGACAAACCCGTTCCAGAGCGTTCGGGGACGCTCTGAAGGTTCCCAGCCTGAAGCATAGCAGATCCGTACCCCTTTGATCGACATCACCTTCTCTCGTTGCCAACTGTAAAGGTTCCATCGATTTCTGAGGGTGCATCCCAAAGTTTGTCACCACCTTTTGGCTGATCGATCTTAGGGACAGGGGTAAGCTCGAGCCTGAGTAGGAAGGAGGGAGGGGAGTATGGAGGAAAGGAGGGAGGGAAGGATCGAGGATGAGGATGTTGATGCCAATGCTGATGCTGATGACGGTGATGGTGATGGTGGTGATGATGTTCGGAGGGAGGGCGGGGAAGAAGGACGGGGACTGGGGAGGGGAGGGAAGGAGGAATGCAGGAGGGATGTCGCAGGAGGAGAACAAGGCGGAAGGAAGAGGGAGGAGGAGGAGGAAGAAGAAGAGGAGGAGAGGAGGGAGGAGGAGGACCTGTAGAGTTCCAGGTGCTGCAATGTGCCCTCCTGTCCCCAAGTCCCATCTCAAACGGCGTGCGGGCGAGCAGAACCGGTCACAGGGCGGGTGTGCGCGAAACCTTCGCCGCGAGGGAGGGCGCCGCAGAGGCTTGAGCGCGCATCGAGGCGAGAGCCTGAGACGCGGGCAGTCCCGATCGATGAGGCCCACACCGCCATACATTGCGGCGAGGGGGGGGGGGGGCACATGGGGGAGACGAGAAGGAAACGTGGGGGTTGGGGCACGTGGGAGGAGGAGGAGGAGGAGGAGGAGGAGGAGGAGGAGGCGGAGGAGGAGGAGGAGGAGGAGGAGGAGGAGGGAGGCGGAGGAAGGAGGGAGGAGAGATGAGGAGGGGCGTTGGAGGGGGCGTGGGGAGGGGGGGGGAATGGAGGGAAGGGAGGCGGAGGAGGATCGTAGTGTAATGGTTGCTGCTCTCGAGGGTAGGCATAACCCTGTCGAGTCCGATGTGCGCACCTGGGCTCTCCCATCCTTGGAGCCGCCGCCTGCCCCGCTGCAGCACGGGTCGCCATACTCGTGGTGACGGAGTTGGGCCCGTTCCCCAACTCGGCGGCATGGGAAGCACGCTCTGCAGCAGGCCGGGACGCCACCCGGAGGGTGTCTGCGTTTGCTGTGCCTCCCTGCCCTCCACACCCCCCACCCTGTCGCCACGCTCCACAGAACAACCGCTTCGGTCTTCCGTGCTCTGGGGGCGGGCTTTGCTGGAAGGGTGCGGGAGGCGCCGCCGCGTGACCTCGGGTGTCACGAGGGGGGGGCTGTGGCACCATGTGTCGCGCTCGTCGGGCGCGCCGCCAGGAGGCCGCGGCCGCGTCGGGGGGCCCAGCCGGCGCGTCCGACGGCTCCCCCAGAGGCCGCGGCAGCCTCCCGGGCCGGACCAGGGAAGACCCTGGGAGGGCACAGGAAGGGAGACGCTGACGCCCAGGTGTCACAAGGAAAGGGGGGGAGCGTGGCACCTGGTGTCACGCTTATCGGGCTGGTCCTCGCCGCCTGACACTGCACCCTTGCAAAGAGCCCTCTGGGAGCCAGTTGAAGTGATGAGTAGTGCCGCGGTTGTTATTTACTACGTACGCTTTGATCACGCGGATCTCTACGCCCACTGGCGGCGGCTTCATTTGAGACGAGATGTCTTCCTCACCTCCTGCCCCCGCTCGCGACACTTGGCTCCTGAGGGCCAGCTCAATGGCGAGAGCGGGCCTCGCGCGAAAGGGGCCGCTGTTCGAACCGCGCAGCCCGACGGTCCTCACGCCGAGTCACTGGTGAGCGGGCCCCGGAGCTTTCAGTGAGAGGAGGTCTCGCGCGAAGGGCCGCGTTGGCAGGGTCGCTCCGATCTGGTGGCCGGCATTCCTGGCTGCGCCCAGTGTGCAATGTAACGGGTCTTCGCCGCCACCAGCGCTGAGCCAAACATCCAGAAGGGCGCGTGGGCAGAGCGGCGTTCGATTGGCAACCCTCCGAGGACCACGGGGTGAGAAAGTAACGCCTCACGACAGGCAAGCAGAAAATGGAGCGCCCGATTGTGAATCAGAAGAGAAGCATGGGGAGGAGTGCAAATAGGGAGAATTCTCGTGTCTGGGGAATACAGTCTAGGACGCAACGAAGTACGACACCACCTTGCCAATGGGTTTGGCAATTATGGAGAAGAAACTGAAGGACTCAAAGAAGCAAGAGAAGATGTCACTTGGGTTCGTCTTTAACTACACGCATTGTCGGGCGGGCTTGACAGAAGACGCCTGGATGTTACCGTGACAAGAACTGTCTCGGTACTCCGCGCTGGTTGACTGGTGGCGTGGCAAGGCAGCCTATGAAATCAGAGCTTGGCCCTCAGCTACGGCCATGCCACGGCCAGCGCGCCTAGTGGATGTGCAAGAGTTGGGCAAGATGACGGAGGTGAGCTAGGGGAGTATCAGCGCCCTATCGGCACATCAGTTTCCAGGCAAATTCCCAGGTGTTGGCGGCGGTCGAAACGCTGGGGCCTGGGGCCCGGCGCTGTGAACTCAAAGGACAATGTCGCTTAAGTCCCCGGAGGTTCCTGGCTCGGAATAGGCCCCGTATACGAATTGCAGAAAAACCTTATCCCGAGTGGGTAATTGGAAACATACAACACATGCTTCCGAGGACTCTGAATGGGGATGGGGAGGAGGAGGAGGAGGAGGAGGAGGAGGAGGAGGAGGACGAGGAGGAGGAGGAGGAGGAGAAGGAGCAGGAGGAGCAGGAGCAGGAGCAGGAGAAGGAGGAAGGAATTGGGGGTGGGAAGTCAGCCTGCAGGCGTTTCACGGGCCCCGCTGACGCCGAGTGGCGGTGCCTGGTCCGCGTGCCGAGCGTGCTCGGCGGCGGCAGCGGCGCGCTGCACGAGTGGCTCAGCGAGCCCAGCGACGAGGGCCCCCCGGAGCCCTCGTGGGAGGGCCAGTGCGGCGTCTTCGAGGCCCCTGTTATGGGGCCGCGCGTAATCAGAGGAAGAAGCAAGACTGCATAAGAGCACCCTTCGATTGCTCCGAAGACCGCTGGCTGCGCGCCTCCAGCGCGGCCCCCTGGCGCTCTGCCCGCCAGGGAGGGTGTTCCAGTGCCGATCCAGGAACTTCGCGCGGACCTCCGACAGTCCATTTTTATGCGGTTGTTTCTTCCTCTGCGTACGCTGCCACGTCATCGCCGCCGCCGCCGCCGCCGTCGTCGTCGTCGTCGTCGTCGTCGTCGTCGTCGTCCTCGTCGTCGTCGTCGTCGTGCTCGTCGTCGTCGTCGTCCTCGTCGTCGTCCTCGTCCTCGTTCTCGTCCTCGTCCTCGTTCTCGTCGTCGTCGTTGTCGTCCTCGTCGTCCTCGTCGTCCTCGTCGTCCTTGTCGTCGTCGTCCTCCTCGTCGTCGTCCTCGTCCTCGTCGTCGTCGCCGCCGTCGCCGTCGTCGTCTCGTCGGTCGCGGCCTGGATCGCAGGCGTCGCCGTCGTCGTGGAGGTCGCTGTCGTGGTGTTGGCTGTCCTGATCGTTGGACCGTTGGCTTGTCCGCCTCCCGCCCGAGGGACGCCCTCGTCGGCTGCGGGTGCCCCCCCCCCCAAACCTGACTGCGCGACGGCATCGGCGGTGGCGACGGCGACGGCCGTGTGCCGTCGACGTTCGGGCCACCCCTCGGCGCGATCGGAACGGCCAGGGGCGAAGACCAGTCGGCGGCGCCCCGAGGGGGGAAGCGAGAGGGGGGGCAGTCCTCGGAGGGCGGCCGGGCTCCACAGAAGCCCTCCGGCCTTCCGGGAGGCCCCCCGCGGCTTCGGAGCAGGCTGAGACAGCGAGAACGCGCTTCTCGAACAAGCGCAATGAGGAGGGCGCGCAGACGCAGCGGAGAAGGGCGCGCGGCGTTGCGCAGGCCGGCGGAGCGGTCCTGGCCGCCGCGCCATTCTCATTCGGGCCGCAGAGCGGGCCGGCAAAGATCGCCGAGCGCGTTCCACTGCTCGCAAAGTGCCTACTCGCGAACGTCCGAAAAACCAAACGTCTGCCTTTATGGAATGTATCGTACATTCCCTGCGGCGGATCCAGGCCATTTGCGAGTAGCGACTTTGCGAGTAGTGGAACGCGCTCGTCTAGACAAAGAAGAGCGGCCAGTCAGCGGAAAAGAAGATGCGGATGCTCGGGCGCCTTCGCTTCTCTGAGGCTTGACTGCGTTGAAGGATCCCTCTCGGGCGAGCCGTCGCCCCGCTGCCTGGGCGCGCCGCCGAGCCAGCAGCTGCTGCCCAGTTGAGCACGGCGCGGCCTCGCTGGCGGTGTCGCCGCGGACGTTGGCAGGTTGGGGCAAGCGAGGCATTGAAGAAGGGGCTTCGCTTGCTTGCTTGCTTGCTCACTCTTTTCACGACATGCCCGCAGCAGCATTTGGCTCGGGGTTCTCACCGCGCCCCAGGCTCGCGCGCAGCCACCGCGGTCTGCGTGCCCATTTGAGTAGTTCTCAGGTGGCGAGCTGGAAAACGTGTTGACGAATTGTACGTTTTGACGTCGCTTTCATCACATCGCGGGGCTTCGATTTCGAAGACCGTAGGAGTTGATGTCTCTCCCTCGGCGGAAGGCAGGCGGAAGCTGGCGGAAGTACAACGAGGCCGCCTCCGCCGGGTTGGAAAATTCGGCGGGAGCAGGTGGAAGGAGAAGTCAGCCTCCCAGGAGATGGCAAGTGTGTTTGGTGCAGTGTTTCTTGAGCTCGCCAGGGAGCCACGGGTTGATCGATCGAGTCGACCAGGACACGTCGCCGCTCTTGGGCAGCCCGCGCAGGGGCGCCACGACGGGACGGCACAGGCGCCGCAGTCTCTCGAAGAGCCAATTCGGCGTAACCACTATGTACAAATCAGATGCTTAAAACATCGGGGGTGGATAGACCTCCTACCCTGACACGTCGATTGGCGAATCGGCCGCTTTCGGTTCGCGAGGGGGCGTCGCGCTCATCCTTTGTGCGGGTCCAGGTCCGTCGGCTTCGGCCCTAGGCCGTTTTCATTGAAGGGTGGCTTGCTAGAGGGAGGCTTGTCCACCGCTGAAGAAGTCAGGAGGGGAAAAAACACACAGACACAAACAGTCGTCGATTCCCGAGAAAATATCGGACAATATGGGAAGTGGGGGGGAAGACAAAAACCCAGAACATATGGGGAAATACTTGGAATCCTCTTATTTGTATCTATCCGTAAGGGCTTCGCCCCCTGCCGCCGGCCCCCTGTTGGCTTCGCCGTGAAGCAGTGTAGGGACCTATTTGTTTTTCGACCCTGACCCTACGGATCTGCGTGAGGGGTGCCGCCGAATTTCAGAAATGTGGCAAATCCACTGTTCTTTTGGACCCTGACCCTGCGGATCTGCGTGAGGGGTGCCACCGAATTTCAGAAATGTTGCAAATCCCATGTGTTTTTTGACCCTGACCCTGCCGATCTGCGTGAGGGGTGCCGCCGAACTTTAGACATGTGGCAAATCCCTTGAGTTTTTGGACCCTGACCCCGCCGATCTGCGTGAGGGATGCCACCGAATTTTAGAAATGTGGCACATCCCCTATGTTTTTGGACCCTGACCCCGCCGATCTGCATGAGGAGTGCCACCGAATTTTAGAAATGTGGCAAATCCCATATGTTTTTGGACCCTGACCCCGCAGATCTGCATGAGGGGTGCCACCGGATTTCAGAGATGTAGCAAATCCCTTGTGTTTTTGGACCCTGACCCCGCCGATCTGCGTGAGGGGTGCCACCGAATTTAAGACATGTGGCAAATCCGCTGTGTTTTTGGACCCTGACCCCGCCGATCTGTGTGAGGGGTGCGACCGATTTTGAATAAAGTGGCACGTCCCTTATGTTTTTGAACCCTGACCCCGCCGATCTGCGCGAGGAGTGCCACTGAATTTCAGAAAAGTGGCAAATCCCTTGTGTTTTTGGACCCTGACCCCGCTGATCTGCGTGAGGAGTGCCACCGAATTATAGAAATGTGGCAAATCCCCTGTGTGTTTGGACCCTGACCCCGCCGATGCGTGAGGGGCGCCACCGAATTTAAGAGATGCAGCAAATCCTTTGTGTTTTTGCATCCTGACCCCGCCGATCTGCGTGAGGGGTGTTAATTTTTCCCACCCCAGCAATTCAGACAATACGATTTGGGCGTGGTAAAAATGCCTGTTCTGGGCCTCCCCCCCTCGCGCGGTCCATCGACAAGGAACAGTAAGCAGCAAGAAGCAGAACTGTAACAAGGAACAACAAGCAGCAAGAAGCAGAACTGTAACAGTGGAAACTGGAAGCTGCAACTGGCACAGGAAACTGCGAACCTCCGGCCTACAGCCTGGTGGCCCCACAAGGGAGCCGCCGGATTCATTTGTGTGTCCCAGGGCCCCTTCAAAAAGGACGGCTTCCAGCTCAGGAGGGGCTCTGGTCTTCGGACTGCTCCTTACCTATCCAGCTCGGGGAGCCCCCGTCGCGGCCGAGGCTCGCCGTGGGTAGGCGAGCCCCTCGTTCCTCGCTTGGCACTCTAGAGGGTTCGCTCGCAGACTTCTGTGATCTGCGCTGTTGCCTTAAGTCGGGCCTGTCCCTCCACAGGAGGAATATTCAAAAATAGTCAGAAATAGTCTGGGGACCATCTTTTGATTATTGTTGAGCATTTTTGGAGCATGGTTTAGATCTTTCTACGTAATTTTTCGTCCGAAATCCCACTGTAGGGGGACAGGCCCGACCGAACTGTCGCCCATCATCGCTGCGGGGAGCGCGCCAGGGGCGGCGCCTGAGGCGCCGCCAGGCGGGGCCAGCGCAGGTCCGAGAAACACGCGCGGACCCCCGACAGTCCATGTTTGCGCAACTTTCGTCTCCTTCCAGTCTCGGGTCTCCCGCCAAGGGGGGGGAGATCTTCAAAGGAACAGCCTCTGGTCTCCCCGTCTTCCCAGAGGAGCAAGAAGTCACCAGGATACGTGCCAAGACTCACAGGATCCCCAAGATTTCCTACTGCTCCGCACGGGCTCCTCCGGAAGCGAGGGCCGCTAGATATTCTGGACGTTCTGGAACGCATCCTGAGCCAATCCCGAGTAGTTTCACATCACACTCGTTCTGGCTTTGCGCGTCCACTTTCCGGCGTGCCGTCTCCTCCCCCTTAGAAGGTCGACTGGTCGGGCGTATCCGGCGGCGCCGTGGTCGGCGCCAAACCGCCGCCGTCCGACGAGTCCTTGGAGGCTCGTTCCCTCCCTCTTCCCATCTTCCCTCTTCGTCGTCGTCCTGCTCGTCATCCCCTTCCTTCGTCGTCGTCCTCCTCCCGTCCCCCTCCTCTCCCTCATCCCTCTCCTCCCCCTTCTCCTCCTCGTGGCCGTCCTCCTTCTCCTCCACCTCCCCCGTCCTCCTCCTCCGTCCCCCCCCTCGTCGTGGTCGTTGTCCTCATCCTTCCTGGCAGATGTGGGTATTTTTGCTTTTCGGGAGGAGCCCAAAATACCCACTCTCCTTCATCCTCCCTTCTCCCACCTCCTCCCCCCTCCTCGTCGTCGTCCTTCTCCTTCTGATCAGGGGCAACGTGAAGGGTGGAGAGGCTACCAGAGGACCAGAGAGATGCATCGGCCCCCAATCGCCGATGCATCGTCGACAGGGGCCCGCTAGCCCACTCTGCCCGGAAACGTGCGGCTTCGCTATCAGGGACTTGGCGCCGACCTATCGCAAGTATCGGCGGGTATTTTTTTAGGCTCGATCTTCCCCGCCCCCCCCTCCTCCGAACCAGTCGCCGGTCCCCTCCTCACTGCGCCGCTCATCCTAGCAGATGTGTGTGTTTTTGTAGCCTCGGGAGGCCTCCGAAGGCCCTCAGGGCTTCCGGGACTTCGGAGGCCTCTGCGGATGTCCTCCTCACCCTTGCTGTCGGTTCTCCCTGTCATTGTTTAGCCTTCCCCCTCCCTCTTCCCTCGCCATCCGCCCCTGCTGTTCTTGCTCCTTCCTATGCTTCCTCCTCTCTTCCTCCTCTTTTCCTCCCGCCTCCCTCATGCTGCGTCATTCTTCTCCGTGCCCGCATCCTTACGTCTTTGTCCCAGCGCGCAGCCCTTCTGCTCGTCCCGCCCAGCACTGTCCTCAGTGCTCCCCCCATCAGTGCCCCCCCCTGCTGCGCCCGCCTCCTCCATCCTTATCCAGTCTCTCCTGCTCACCTCTACAGTCGGCCCGGATCAGGAGGTCGACCATGCCAAATCAAGGGTACCCTTGTGTCCTGTGTCTCGTGACCCATGCCTCCATCATTCCTGATGGCAGTGTGCACCTCGGAAAGGGTCTTTTGTCCCTCGCGTGTCCTCTCCTCAAGTCCGACTGTATCCGTCCTCCGTCTTCCCCTCCACCATTCGGGTGCCGCCAAAGGTGTCCTTGGCTTCAGGTGCCTCCAGGATTCTCGGGGGGGGGCACGTGGCCTCCAGAGCACGCCTCAAGAGGCCCAGGAGGCCCCAGGGGGCTCCAAGGTGGCGCCCAAAGTCAGGGGCACCGTGGCTCAGGACCAGTTCGATAGCAACACCCACATCTTGCTCTTGCTCTTGCTGCTCCTGAAGGGGACATGCCCCCGCGCGCTCCCATGCGCGCGAGCCGCACCCGGATGCCAGCGGCGCTCACGCCCTAGAGGCTCCGGGTCACGGCCCATGCTGCCACTGCCCGCCCTGCACTGCCATTGCCCAGAATTCTCGCAGGCGCCGATCCCAACGCTGTAGCTGGTTACGTTGAGCCCCACCTCCGAATTCCACCTCCCGCTGAGCAGCGCCACTGCCCACTGCCACCGCCCAGATGTCACACAGGCGCCGACTGCAACACTGTAGCTGGTCACGCCGGGCCCCCATGCGGCCCCCTACGCCCCACTGAGTGACGCCGAATCCTGCTGCAGCTGTACGCCCTCCCCCTCGCACGCGCACACTCCAACACTTTAGCTGGCGACATGGGGCCCCACATCCGACTCTAACAGTGTAGCTGGTGACGTTGGACCCGACATCCGGATTGAACACCCCGCTGAGCAGCACCACTGCCCACTGCCACCGCCGAGATTTTCTCACAGGCGCCGATCCCAACACTGCAACCGGTCACGCCGGGATCCCATGTAGCCCCCCAAACCCCGCTGAGCGACGCCGATTCCTACTGCAATTATACGCCCGCATTGCACGCGCCCACTCCAACACTGTAGCTGGCGACGTTGGGCCCACTTCCGGATTCCACATCCCGCTGAGCAGTGCCACTGCCCACTGCCACCGCCCAGATTTTTCAAGGCGGCGATCCCAACGCTGTAGCTGGTCACGCCGGGCCCCCACGTGGCCTCCTACACCCCGGCGGGCGACGCCGAATCCTGCTGCAAGTATTCGCCCCCACGCGCACGCGCACACTCTAACACTGTAGCTGGTGGCGTTGGGCCCCACATCCGACTCTAACAGTGTAGCTGGTGACACTGGGCCCCACATCCGAATACAACATCCCGCTGGGCAGCACCACTGCCCACTGTTGCGGCCCCGATTTTCTCGCAGGCGCCGACCCCAATGTTGTAGCTGGTCCCACCGGGATCCCATGTGGCCCCCCCAACCCCGCTGAGCGACGCTGAATCCTGCTGCAACTGTTCGCCCCCCCCTCGCACGCGCCCATTCCAACACTGTAGCTGGCGACGTTGGGCCTATTTCCGGATTCTACATCCCGTTGGGCAGCACCACTGCCAACCCCCACCGCCCAGGTTTCTCAAAGGCGCCGATCCCAACACTGTAGCTGGTCACGCTCGGTCCTCACGTGGCCTCCCATGCTCCGGAGAGCGACGCCGAACCTTGCTGCAACTGCTCCCCCCGGGCCCACATTTCGCACAGGCACTGATCCCAGCACTGTAGCTGGTCATGTTTGGGCCGTCGTTCTGGCACGCGCAGATTCCAGCACTGTAGCTGGCGACGTAGAGCACCACACTCGAATTTCAGATCCCGCCAAGCAGCACCACAGCCCACTGCCACTGCCCTCCCACTCCGCCCTTACCTCCTCCTCCACCTCCACATCTACGTCGCCGTCGTCCTGGCCTACCCTGCCCTCCACGTCCACGTCCCCAACCTCGTCGTCCTTCCCACCTCAAGCTCCACTGCCAGGCCCGCCACAGCCATGAGAGACGGCTACTGTGTGCAACGGGCGGGGGGAGGAAGGGGCCGAGGGCAGGGGGGGAGGAGAGGGCAGACGTCGCCTAGGCGGTCCGGGAGGGCGCCGCCCGGGCCAAGACGATCGACTCCACGCAGACCCCGAAGTACTCAACACAAACCTCCAGGGCGTCGACCGAGGGCGCACTGGCCAGCGTCCACTGGGCAACCCGCCCCTGTGCCGTCCCAGGGAGCGCCTGCCTCCACTCCCGGGTGCCGGCACACATCGCCAGAACATGTTCCAGCGATGCTGCCGCACACCCGCAGAGTGGGCATGGTTCTACGCTCTCCTGGATGTCCTCGTGTAGCCACAGGTACAGCGGCAAGTGCCCGCTGATCCGCGCGAACATCCACGCCGCGAAGAAACGCCAGGTCCGCCTACTCCACGGCGCCCACTGCAACTGAATTGGGAACGGGGTGCGAAGCGGTGCTAGGGCCGCGTAGGCGAGCGTGGACAGCTGGGCCTCGAACCATGCCTGCTCAGATCGGCGGATGGCTGGTGCCACAACCGAAAGCTTCCACTTTGCAACCCACGCCTTGCACTGCGCCCGGTCGTCGCGGTTGATGGCCGAAGTGTCACAGAACGCAGCGAAAGGCTGGATGCGCAGGTCTGCAATGAGCGCGTCGGCGTGATCCAACCAAGTAGCACCTGTGACGGACCGGGCCGCGACGCATGCCTGCCGAGCCACCGCCCGGTCCGGTAAGAGGTCGATCCTGGCCCTCGTGGTGACGATCCGCTTGAGGACCAGGGCGGCCACCCGGTTTAATAGGCGCATCTCTGAAAATACTCTGACGTGCCCCCCCGCACCCAACGAAACCCCTGGCCGCAAACCGAGCATAAACTTGGCGGCCGAGTACATAGCCTCGTTAAGCTTGCGCGCGACCACCGCCCACCCGCCTGCGTAGGAAGCCAGCGGCTCCGTGCCGTGGAGGACCGACGGGCAAACGCGCTTATAGAATTGCTCCACGGTTAGCGGGACGCCCAGGCCCAGGTCACGGGTGGACGTGGTGAGCTCGGCTGCGGCCGCTATGAGCTTCGCGCACGTGCGGTCCAGGAGCCCCTGGAACGAGAGCTGGTTGTCGACCGCCGTACCCAGGACATCCAACCACTGCACCTCTGGCACCGTCTCGCCCGCCACCGTTCCGAAGTCCCTTGAAGTACCCGGCGGGGCGCAGACAGCAAGGACAGACGGCCGCTTAACCCCCCCTTGGAAAACGTGCCTCCAATTTTTGCAGAAGGCGTCCATGCTTTCAGAGACCGCGCGCAACCCGGCGGCCGAAGACTGCATGGGGAAGGCGTCGTCAACGAATTGGCCGACGACGAATTGCTGAGCGGAAACCTTGTCCAGCAGCGCGAGCTGCTCGTCGGCGGTGCGGAGCGCGCCGATATGACTGTCCCAATCAGGGGTGGCAGAGAGCTCGGCGACTGTGGCCTCTAGTTGCACGCTGGTCCAATCAACGGGGCGCGTGGAGCTATCGAAACGCGAACCGACGCGCTGCCAGCTAAGGGTCGCGCCTGCGGGGGGCGCGATCCCCACGCCCACGACACGAGCCTCGAGCTCCGCCACCATGGCGCTGACGAGCGCGCCGAACAGCTGGACGCCCGCCTTGCGCCCCTGGCCAACGCCGAAGCCTCGCAACTGGACGACGCGACCGAGTAAAGGCCCCCAGCGGATCCGGACCTGCTCGTCGCCAAGGGCCGCGTCGGCGAGCAGCCACATGCGGCCGCGTACTCCTGCCTCCCATAGCTGCACGCGGACAGCATCCCTCCAGGTGAGGTCAAACCCTTTGGCCAAATCTGCCTTCATTAAGAATGTTGGCAATTTGGCAGCGGCTCGCGATTGAAGCACGACAACAATTCCCAGGGCGAGGAGGGTGGAGTCCCATTTCCCGCCAAACTGCGTACCCCCGCTGTGGGAATCCAGCAACGCTTTCACGGCCTGCAACCACATGGCATCAAGAACGCCGGCAAGCTCGTCGATAATGCTGATCGGGCGGGTGTTCACGAGGGCAGAAACCTGGACAGGCCCCTTCTTCCTGATTGGAGTGATGTCCCGCAACCACCCCGAGGCCACCAGGCCGAGAACGGCCGCGAGGTTGACCACCGCCCACGTGACCTGGGTGCCTGCCATGGCAACCGAAGCGCTTCGTGGTAACCGTTGGCTAGCACGGTCAACGTTGATACTGCGCAGGGTGTGCGCGACAGTGACATATGGAAATGGGTCTCCCTCAATATCCCCGGCTACCCCATGGAACGCTTCCCGGCGGATGCGTTTTAACTCCCCCCTTACCCATTAGTTGCCTGCTCGCGTGCCGGGGCTTGCTGCCTGCGCGCGCCCAAGAACGTCGTCGGTGAGCGCCTCGACGATTTCCTCTGAATCGAGCAAGCGGCCGTCGGGCCCCCGAAGGGTGAGCTCCACCTGGCGCTTGGGGTGGAGAAGGTGCGTCACGGCCGCGTCCGGGTTGCTGGCCCCGTCCACCACCAGACGCCTGAAGGCAGCGACGCGTCTGTCCTGCAGGTTGTCGCACGTGCTAGGGGTTGTCCCGAGGAAGGTGTTGGCCTGCTGGGCGACCGTCGCATGCCAAGCAGGGGGCCGAGGCGGGCGGCATGCGACCAAACCGCCCACGTGCCCGCACACCGTGTACAACACCGCGCGCCACCAGACTGCTAGGTCCAGGAGGCGCTGTCGCGAGCCGCGTCTCGCGCCCGACGCCGCCCACCCTCTGATGGTGGAGTGTCGCATCGCTGTGGCGGCCCAGCCCGTGAGGAACTCCAGGGAACGCGGGAGCAATTGTAGTGCAACGTCCCAGTCACCGCCGTGCCCCCAGCGGGCTCGACCAAACTGTTGGGAGGGTGGAAGCGCGAATGCCACATGGCAGAGGGCATCTACTCGGGCGTGATCGCTCCGGACGCCGCCCTCCCCGAGTGGTTGTACGCATACCTCCACAGAAAGACTCGCCGTAGCCGCCACCACATCGATGACTGTGCCGGACCTGTGCGTGGCCACACCTGGGCGGTTACGTAAAGTGCAACCCTTGCCGCTCGACCCAGTCAGGAGCACCTCCACCTCCCTGTCGAGCCTCTCCTCATTCCGTGGGTTGCTGCCGCCCAAACTACCAAAATGGAGGTTGTAATCGCCCAGCACAAGCACACCCCAACCAACGTACTCTGATCTTCCGACCAGCTGGGCATGCTCCTCGCGCCGCCTACGCCAAAAAGACTCGCGGACTGCAGCGGGGAACCTCGCATGTGGACCATAAACGCCTAGGATGAGCACTCCCGGGCACGGGGCCTGGCCAGGCAGCGCGAGCCAGATGGCTCTCGGGTCACCCACGTCATCAATGTGTGCCAAGGCGGACATCATGCCGGAGCGAATTAAAATGCCGACCGTGTCGGGGTCCCGGGATCTTTCTCCAACGAAGTGGAAGCCACAATCTTCAGGCCACAAGGCGCCAGGCCCTAGACGCGGTTCCGAAATCACTGCGATGTGCACCCCTACCTGCCACAGTTCGCACGAGAGGGCCCGGATATGCTCATAAGACGAACCTGCTCCAGACTGCACGCCAAAAGCGGCCTGTATGTTGAAGGCGGCCATGTGGACTTCCTTGAAAGATTCCCCGCTCTGCCGCGGGGCTTCTTCTGGGCGGAGCCCTCCCTCCCAGGCGCCATGGCATCGATTACGCGGGAGGCCAACGTACAATGTTTTCAAACGGTGGATCCACAGACCGAGCATATCAAGCACCGCAGCGTGGAAGGTTTTGTGAGCACCAAGGTCTGACGGAAGCTCCTCCAGCCCGAAAGGCGGCCGTGAACCGTGCAGCGCGTCCATGTCCCGGAGCATGCACAAGGCTGACAATCTGCCAAAGGTGCACGGGCGGACGGACACACCACGCATCTCCGCCTGAGCACGAGCCGCTGCAGCCTCCCCTGCCCAATCCAGCAGGAGGCGCGCCGACGGCTCGCCTCCCCGGCGCGGAGACCGTGAGCGCACGTGCGCCGCCGGCATCGCCCCCGGCCACGCGGGGACTGGGCGCGGCCCGGCAGGAACCAGATAGCTGGGGAGGGAGGCGGGGGAGGAGGGAAGAGGAGGGGGCAGGGGGGACATGTTTACACCACGATAGTTCGCCACATCTGAGTTCCCATTGTCTTGTTGGTGCAATTCGTGACATTTTCGTTGCCGTGAGCTGTTCTATCAGCTCTTCTCAGTCGGAACGAACAACTGCCGCCTGTATGGTATGGGAGACACTCTGACATCCGAGGATGGGCTGGCATCCCCCAGCAACGCTACTGACAAAAGGGGGCGTGGCAAAAAGGGGGGGGGGGGTCTTGAGCCACTGCTGACTACTCATGCCGATGCTATGCCGATGCTCCCCTGTCCCACGTTTCCGCAGCGGGGGGGGGAACATTACTAGCCCCTCGCGTGCACCCCCCTCCCAGCACGCAGCGTCCCGGAACCGTTGGGCACGTCTGCTTGCACCACATCCGTCTGCCTGGCGCCGCGGGCATCCAACGTTTTTCCGCCACAGTCCATGTCCTGGGAGGTCGCCTGAAAAATGGGGTGGGCGGGGAGGGAGGAGGAGGAGGAGGAGGGGAAGGAAGGGGAGAAGGTGGAGGGCGGGTGGCGGCCGCAGCTGCGTCGCGTTGGCTGCGCACCGCCTCCGCTGATTCGGGGGAGCCCCTGTAAAAAGTCCCCCCTCCACACCACACAAAGGAAGAGAGCAATTCGCTTTTAAACAAGGATGCCGCCACACAGTGCGGCAGGGGGGAAGGAGGAGGAGGAGGAGGAGGAGGAGGACGACGACGACGACAAGGATGGCGAAGATGATGATGGTCGCATGCCTCGTGCCGCCGCCAAGTGCCAGCGCACATCGCCAGAGCGAGCTCCGGCGATGCCGCCGCACACCCGCGGAGATGGCGCCCTCCACCACCGATGGAGGCATATAGTACCAATGCAGCCAGCGCCCGTCGTCGTCCCCGCGCTGTTTTTCCTCGCCGCCGCAATCGTAAACATAGGTGTTCATAGGTCGTGCCCCTCCCGGGGCCCGCCACTAAGTGGCGACGAAGCCCGTTACGTCCGAGAGCGGGGCAGCCTTTGCCGCCCCGACTCCCTCCAACGCTAGGGCCGGGCCGAGGGCGGCCACCCAATTCACCACGTAGTCCAGGAAGTTGCTGCGGTGGGCCTGGACCTTGATCTCGCGGCTCGCGATGTGCAGCTGGATCGATGCACGTGTCGGGGTCCTGGGGCCGTTGGGCCTGGTGGGGAAGTGGAGCTTGCAGATGAACATCACGCTACTGCCCCCCTGTGTCTCAGCCCACCACGTCGTACTGGGAGGTTTTTTCCATGGCCCCCGCTTCCCCCTGGAAGCGTCGATCTCTTCCATCACCAACTTCTGCACGATGACCTCGGGGCCCTGCTTGCCGTGGAAGCCCTTCACGCGATGGCACAAATCGTCTATGGAGGCGGCTGGGCGCTCGAAGCGGACGATCATCTGCGACGGGTTGCCGGCCGCTTTGAATCCATCGGCCACGGTCTTCTGGAAGGTCTCCGCGTCCCGCTTGAGGAGGGCGGGGTCCGAGTACTGGGGCTGGCCGGTGGCACCCATGCCGTGTAGCTTAGCCGGGTCAGCAGCCATGCCGCCCGAATTGTCCGCAGTGAGCTTGATCTTGTTCTGGGTGATCTGGATGGTATCGCACAGCATGCTGATGGCGGCGGCGGGCTTCGGCAAGTCCACGCTGATCTTGTCCAAGGTGTCGTACATGTTGTTCACGAGCTCGTCGAGGATGCTGGAAGCCTCGTCCGAAGATGTCCCAATCATTGCCGGTGGCTTCGGAAACCCTGCTTTCGGAGTGAGCGCCGGTAGAAATGGGGACAGCGGTTGGGGGTAGTGCGTGCTCGCCAGCGGTGTAGCGGACACTTCACGCTCCGGCTCTGCATCCAAGCGGGGCTGCTCGTGTACACGTGGTGGCCCGCGCCGCTCATGCGAAGGGGGGTGGACTCCATGGCGGTGATCGCGGTCCGAGCCTCGCTCAACCCTCGAGGGGGCCGTGAGTTCAGCACGCCACGATGCTGGTTGGTACGAGCGCCCCGAGACGTGATCCGCACGCCGCGTCCGCGAGGAGCTCTGGCCGCGCCGCCCGGAACGGCTCCTGGAGCCGCGCGGGGGGCCCCCTGAATCCCGATGTGATCCCCACCGGCCGCCGCTCGAACGGCCATCTCCGCGTCCACTCCGGCGAGGGGACCGACGAGAATCGCTGCGGCGCGTCATCTTATGGCAGCGGCCAGCCGACGAGGGGCCGAGGGGGGTCCTAAACGCAAAATGTCCGCTCTTGGACCTTGACTCCTCCTCCTTGAGCCACATCCTCCCCCCCCTCCTCCATCCTCCTGCCGCTTATCGTTCCAATGTTCTACAGCTTTCGTGCCGCCTCGCGACTAGCAGCCATCATCCATACGCAGCATAGACGAGTCGGTCTGCAGGCTGCGCTTGTGGAATCACCCAGCCTCCCTAGCGCAGTCCCACCCTTGGCAGCTCTCGCTTGTGAGTCTGACTGGTAGGAGCAAATCCTCCTCCCCCCTCCCTCCCCCCCTGGCCCCTCCTGGAAGGAGCAGCTGCGGCAGGCCCTGGCGGAGAGGGCGGCGCTGCTGGACTCCCCCCCAGGGGGAGGGGGATCGGCGGGCGGCCCGGGCCCTCCCCGCCGCAAGGGAGGGAGCCCGTGGAGGAGGAGGGACAAGCAGGTGATCGATGTCGAATGGATTTGCCCTCGGCGCCCTCTCTGGACCGACCTTCGCCTCTCGAAGGGAAGGGAGCGGCATCAGCACAAACTCTCGACGCTCCGCTCGGATTTCGTGGATCGGCGCTGGGCCCCCCCTGGCGGCGCCTCCAGCGCCGCCCCTGGCGCGCTCCGCGCGCAAGGGGGGGGGAATTCCAGCGCAGATCCAAGAAACCCGCGCGGAGCGCCAAAAGTTTGTGTTTCTGACGTTCTTTCTTCTTCCGCTCTCGTGGCCCATCCAGCGCAGACCCCCCGGCCGCTTCCCAGGGCAGGGCGCGGGTTGGCTCGCCGCCCCGTTTGGAGCCGGCTCGGTGAGGCGGCCGCGGGGCGCTCGATCCCGGCTGGGCGCCACGCCTCTCTGGCGCGGGCGATAAGATGATCTTCAGAGGGGGGGGAAACAGGGGCCACGCGCGAGAAGGGGCAAACTAGGTTCAGGGGGCAATCTTGGGGGGGGGTGTCAGTGGAGAGTGTGTTCCACGGATCTCAGCCTTTCGCTCCGAGATGTCCTCACAAATTGTCAGCTCGTTATCGTCCCCGAAGACGTCGGCGGAGGGGTCAGGCTCGCCAGAGCCACGATATAACCGCTCAATAATGGCAGGACGTCGAGAAGGAAACCAGCAAACTCTTTAGCAATCAATCCATGATATCGCGTCTGGTCTCCCTGAGCTCCGGACCGAGGTGAGAGACATCTAAAACCACGCAGGCTGCAAACTAGCTCGCGCCAGAAATGCTGGCAATCGGTCGCAGTTGAAACCGTTGAGCAGTTTTGCAGGAAGGACATTCGTAGTGATCGCACAGGTCTATGATATTATGGTTTGCCTTCTTGCTCTTGAGTGCGGCTTCCACTGTCCTCATGCTGCAGTGACTGAAGTTGCGGTGGAGGTGCGCGATGATCCCCTCCAAGTCTCTCAGCTCCCGCTTGGTGCATTCCTGAACGCGCTTCGGTAATGGTAGCCGCAGGTTGCCCGCAAGTCGCTCTTGAACTCTCGCTTCTTGTGATCCGCCTTTCGGTTCGTCTCCGGCTTCGGCGACTGGTTCTGCTGCTCCATCGACTGCCTGGCCATCGCCTTCTGGTCCGGGTCGCTCCTCGGTCGGCTCTAGAGTTGGTCGGTTCCACGCCCTTAGATCTTCATCTCCTGCTTCGGCGGGTCGCTTAGTCCGAGAGCGTTCTATGACCGTCACCACCAAGATCGATAACACATATCGGATTTGTCTTCTGCAGCTGGGTTCTCCGGGGTTCGGCGAGTGTAGAAGCGTATGACCCCCCTGGGGCCCAACAGGAGCACTTGTCTGGGCTTTGTCAGATGAACTTGGGGGCCAGCCCGACGCGAGTCGGGGGGTGCGCCTCCTTTCTGAGCCCTACCGCGGGCCCAGGGAAAAAGCGAAAGCGAGCGCTCCACAGGAGCCCCGCGAGAGCCTCGCAATAGCCCCGCGCGAGCGCCACGGGAGCCCCGCGCAAGCCACACGGGAGCCCCGCGAAAGCCCAGCGAGAGCCCCGCGCGGGCCCCGCGAGAGCTCAACGCGAGGGCCGCGGGAGCCCGCTTCTAGCTCCACGAGAGCCTCACGCGAACCCCGCGAGATCAGCATGCGAACTCCGAGCGCACCCCGCGAGAACGTGGCCAGCGCTAGCACCGCAAGTCCAGAGCAGGCGTCTCCCAGTGCCCACGCGGTGGTGGTGTAATTATAAAATTTCGGCAACCAAGGAGCCGAACTTCTACACACCACCACCAAGATTTGTTTTTTTCGGATAGGGCTCCCCCCCCAGACTCAGTGGAATGCCCAGGAGGCTCGGGGGGCTCCCGCGGCCGGGGGGGTCGGCCCCGCGAGGCCCGCGGTGGGGCGAATTGTGTTGCCAATGGGCGGCCCCCCCCGTGGATTGAAATTGCTCTGCAAGCGGCGGGCGCGGAAGAGGGCATAGCTGCCCGTCCCGGAACTGGGCCTTGTGTGTCTCGTAATGGCTGGGGTGACGCACGTGGCGCGCGGTGCGGGCCGCTCCCACGTCGAGTCAGCGCGCAGGTGAAGGCGCGCGCTCGCGCGGCGATGGTTCGTCTCGTGGCCGAGTGCTTGAACCTACGTTTGTCGGTTGAAGAATGCAGCCTGCACCGCGCTCGCCGACAGCGTGCTTGTCGTCGTCTGTCATTGTTGTTCTGCCATGTGCCAATCGGGCATCGGAGTTTGTGACGTTGGATTTGTTCAGAGCGTTTTTGCGATTCTTTTTTTTTTCGGGCGGTGGTGGTGTATTTGAAACGTCCTCGTACTTCGTCGTGTATCGATGCTTCGCTGCGAAGATCCCGTTGCCCTTCTCGTTGTGGGCCTTCACTAGGTAGCTCAAGGCCTCGTCGGACGTGGGCTTCGCCATGGAGAGTTTGGCGATCTGCTTGTGCATGTTCACGAGGTAATTGGCTAAGCGGGCCACGCGAGTATTTCTCTCAAGAGGTAGATGAACATGAAGATCTTGACTTACTTTCCCGATCTGCTTGTCGAGCTGCTCGTCGGTTGTGGCGGTGTACCATTTCTTCTTCAGCAGGACTCTCTTCTTAATCATCCCGCATGTCATGCATGCATCCGTGCATACGGCTGCCGCGGAACTTCTTCTCGATGTCCTTGAACTTGCCGTTCCACGAGCGACAGCGGTCCGACTGCTCTAGGTAGATGTCGCAGAAGCCTTCCTCCTTGAGCTTGTTGATGGCCCAGGCCACGTTTCTCTGGATCTTCCTGGTCTTGATCAGCTTCTTCCGGGACTCCTCGGTGACAGGGTTCAGGTTCTGCCGCGGACATTCTGCTCCGCAAACCTTCTGTGGCCGCTTGTCACGCAGATAGTTGATCAACTTCTCAGCGCCTGTTCGGGTAGTGAAGTCGCAGCCGCTCCAGTTGCTGAACCGCTCGGCCTGGTCGCCCATGTCCAACGCCGCTTCCGACAATCGTGAATCGGCCACACACGCCACCTCGTCTGAGTCCGGCCTTCGTAGTTCGCCGCAGCCTCCCAAGCAGCATCGGGCATGTTGCCCAAGGCGGTCACCGCTGCCAGTAGTGCGCTCCACATCTGTTGCTTCATACCACGTGCGAGCTCCCCAGCTCCCTCGGAATTCCAGAAGGCGTGAGTAAATCCTCGGGTGCTGGAACGTTGCGCAGTCCCTTGCTGTTACTGGCGGGCTCTGGCACTCCGAACCTCTTGGCTGACCTCGGCTTCTCCGACAACTCCTCCTTCATCTCGATCTTCTCGTTCCTCGTCGTCGGCATGTCGATGAGGCCCTTCTGGATGATCGCCTTGGCCAGCCTGGTGTGCCCCTCGTGCCTGATCGTCTGGCGCTCGTTCTCGATGGTCGGGTGCACCTCGGAGTCCGACAGCTTCCGAATCACCTCTGAGGCCAGTCGGCTTGGCAGAGGCCAAACCGAGAAAGGCGTAGCGGTTCCTGTCGTAGGCTTCTCGGTTTCCGTCTCCGTTCCGCTGGATGATGAGTTCCATTTCTGGTTGCACGATGGACGCGGGAACTCTTCAGCGTAGCCCACTATCTCCAGCCTCTCTGGAAGCTCTCGCGAGACTTGGTACAGAGCACGATTTGGTTGTTCTGCACCCGGTTGAACACGCATTTGAAGAGAGTCCCTCCACAATCTTTGGACTTGATCTGTTCCATGAAAGCGTTCGTCCCTTGGCGAGTCTGATCGCAGTGGCCGCAGGCTATGGTCATCGACAGCCGCGATGAAGAGGCTGGTGTCGCGAGACTCTGGATATGGACGCTTAGCCTGAGCCGAAACGTTCTTCGGAAACACCGAGATGCCAACCCAACGATCTGGTTCTATTTGTCGAGCATGTGCCCGATCTAGAAACCGATGATGATCTGTTGAAACGACTCGTTCACAGATTTCTCGAATAGCGTAAGTAAGTCGACCCCCAAGAAGTCCTATCGATACTCGGTGTTCAAACTCTCGAGGAGTGCATCGCTGTAATCGATCTCGACGATGCATTCGACCTAGGAATCCCGGAAACGAGACCCAGACATCTCTTGCCACTTTCATGCCTTCGATCCAGTTTACGGTTTTGGCCAAGTACCCCAGGATTGGATTCAGCATGTCTTCGCAGAGTTTACGGAATATGTCTTTCAGTTGTAGGCTCATGTCTAGTAGCTGTAGGAGTTCTTTGGGGAGGTCTTCAGCGTCTTTTGGGCCCCTGGTGGTGACGACGATGGTTGACGGCTTTTCCACAGTCTCATGGCCACGACCAGGGTGCTGTCCCTATTCGCGGCTCGAGCCCGGACCAGTGTTGCCCAGAGCTGTCAGGCTGATAGCAAGGTGGCCTGACGCGAGCACCTTCGTGGAGATCTCCTTGCCGAGCTTGTGGGAGTAGACCGTGTTGCGACCGTAGTCGATGATTAGCTCGTATTTCTTCAGCATATCTATGCCCAGGAGAACGGTTGACAGACGGTCCAGCACGAATATGTCCACTTTCTTGTCGTCGAGACCGTTGACCTCGAACGAGGCTCTTGAGGGTGCGTCTGCCCTATCTCCACCAGCGAACGTGAACCCGAGATTCTGGTCTGGGTTAACCTCCATAGGCTTCTCCAGCTGCTCGTGGACGTACTCCAGCTGCTCGATGCCTCCGACTGAACGTGATGCACCTCCATCCAGCAACGCATAGTCTCGGCACTCCTCGAGGCTGAAGCTTGCAAACTCACTGACGTCCTCGGCGTTCTCGAAGGTCTCGAAGTCCTCGTTCGCAGTACCCACAAATTGCTCAGGCTTGTCGCTGCTCGGCGCTCCCACGAATCTGCTGAAGGCTCGCCGTCAATCTCCTTGAGCTCCTGCACTGCCCCGAGTGGGACACTCCTCTGCCCGATGTCCGTGTTCTCCACATAACAGGCACATGTTCCTGTCCACTATCTTCGTACCCGAGCTGCTGGCGGCAGCTCTTTTTGGAGTACTCGCTGACGAACCTCTTCCTTTGTTCTTGCCCTTAAGAGCTGCCACGATTCTTACCTTTTCCTTTTTGTGGAGGTCCTCCCCCGCTCACGGCGCGCCCCCGTCCTGCTCCGGGTTGTCCCGGCAGCGCGTCATAGGCCCCAAGGCCCACCACTGGCCTTCACGAACGTCTTTGAAGTTGCATAAGCCGTCTCGGTGCACTCGTCTGAGTCGCTCCTGTCATTCGGCATCACCGCCGCGGCAAGTCCATCTCCACCATGATCCTGGTCCGCCGTCTCGTTGGAGTCCCCGACCGTGATCGTCATCAGCTCCTCAGCGGCGGCCATCGCCGTCTCCGTCAGGTCGGTCGCCTCTCCGAAGCCGTCGCGGAACGCCTCATCGTAGACCTCCTCCGCATAGGCATAGGCGGCCAGCTCATCGGCTTGCTCCTGGCACCTCTGTTCTGGCCTTGTAGCCCTTCTGTCGGTCTCGAGCGGCTAGTTGTTCTTCTAACCACTGCTCTGCCGCGCCTTCTTCACATCCTCGTACAGGTAGGAGTTGCCTCCGGCTCCTGATGTCGCAAGCACCGCGGCCTGCTCCGACGGGTCCAGACCCGTACCGTCTAGCAAAATCAGGCCCGATATACATTCGTACATGAAGCCTGTCGATGGAATGTCGTCGCACACCGCATGGAGGGCCTTCCTGATCTTGCTCAGGTGAATGTCAAAATGGGACACCCACCGCTTCGGGCCCTCGCCTGGATTTCGGTAGACCCGTTTCATGAATTCTCTCCGCTTTGATATTGCCTCCTGCAAGGTGACGGTGCCGCGAATGCTTTTCAGCGCGCTCACAACTCTCTCGGCGCCGTCCTTTTTGATCAAGGCCTTTTGACGCCTCTCCTTTCCACGTAGGTATCTTGATGTCTCCTGCGTGCTGCTCACACGCCACTTAGACCTTGGAGATCGAGTGAACTATCTCGAAGTGGGCTGTTACTTCGTCTCGCTACCAATGTCAGTGGAGCGTGCATTCCACGGATCTCAGTCTTTCGCTTCGAGATGCCCACACAATATGTCAGCTCGTTATCGTCCCGAAGACGTCGGCGGAGGGGTTGGGCTCGCCAGAGCCACGATACAACAGCACAATAATGGCAGAATATCGAGAAGGAAACCAGCAAACTCTTTAGCAATCAATCCAGGATATCGCGTCTGGTCCCCCTGAGCTCCAGACCGAGGTGAGAGACATCTATCACCACGCAGGCTGCAAACTAGCTCGCGACAGAAATGCTACGGACGGAACGAGCAGGGCATTCATTGAGGGTTGCACATCCAGTCTATATCTCCGTTTCCGAGGCCCTGAAATTCTGAAACTCACAGGGGGGGGCATTAGGCTCAGGGGTAGGATGCATCGACCCTCAGTCGCCCATCCATCGCCGATACTGCAGCAGGGGCCTCCACAGAGCGCCCCGCCCAGGAACGTGCGGATTCGCTATCGGGAACCCACCGCCGATTTTTCCGCGATGTGTCAAAGAGTCCAGTCCAACGCTTCCGCCCCTCAGCCCGCCCCCCCCATATCTGACATCCTGATTCTTGACGCGTAGCGTATCCTGACCGGCCCATCTAGAAACGGGCACCAGGCAAGTTGCCCTGATCAGGGATGCGTAGCAGGACGACGACGATGCTGTCGACTAGGACTAGGACTAGGACCTACGACGGCAAGGCGGATTAAACCTTCGCTCCATATGTCGCAGATCCGCTCGATGGTGTTCAGGCCGCTTTGTCTTCCGGCTTCTGCCGCCGTCGGCCCCCGCTTCCGTGCGACAGGACGGGAGTTGCTGGCCCACAGTCGTGCCCTCTCTTATCTGATCTCCGTCCACCCTCTCCCTCCCCCCATCCTTTGCCCCCTCCCGTTCCTCGGGCTTTCATGAGCGTCACGTGTGTGTGTGTGTGTGTGTGAGTGTGAGTGTGTGTGTGTGTGTGCGTGTGCGTGTGCGTGTGCGGCGTGTGCGTGTGCGTGTGCGTGTGCGTGCGTGCGTGCGTGCGTGCGTGCGTGCGTGTGTGTGTGTGTGCTGCCTGCGTGCGTGCGTGCGTGCGTGCGTGCGTGCGTGCGTGTGTGTGTGTGTGTGTGCGTGCGTGCGTGCGTGCGTGCGTGCGTGCGTGCGTGCGTGCGTGCGTGTGCGTGTGCGTGTGCGTGCGTGCGTGTGCGTGTGCGTGCGTGTGTGTGTGTGTGTGTGTGTGTGTGTGCGTGCGTGCGTGCGTGCGTGCGTGCGTGCGTGCGCGTGCGTGCGTGCGTGCCTGCGTGTGTGTGTGTGTGTGTGTGTGTGTGTGCGTGCGTGCGTGCGTGCGTGCGTGTGTGCGTGCGTGCGTGCGTGCGTGCGTGCGTGCGTGTGTGTGTGTGTGTGTGTGTGTGTGTGTCTGTGTCTGTGTCTGGCGTGCGCGTGCGTGTGTATGTGTGTGTGTGTTGTGTTGTGTGTGCGTATGTGCGTGTGCGTGTGTGCGTATGTATATATGTGTACGTGCGCGTATTTGCCCGTCCCATCATTCCCCGACATGCGAACAGTCGATGCAAGACCCGATTCCATCCTTCTCCCTACGTCCTCCCCCCCCGCCCCCTCCATCCCCCCTCCCCCTCCTCCTCCCTCCGTCCTCCTCCCCTGAGATCCGACGTAGCGAAAACATGCAACATCGTAAAATATCACGGCAGGAGCCCTAGACCCTATCTATCCATGGGCCATGTTTCGAGCCGGATCGATCTGTGAGGACCCCGGGGCACGAAAAAAGGCCAAAACGCCGGGCTCGAAAACATTGAGACCTCTGGATCTCAGGGGCCCCCTCCCTTCGTTCTCCCTCTCTTCCCTCCATCCTCCCTCCGTTTCCCCTTCCCCTCCCTCGTGCGCCGATGGGCGCCACCGCGAACTTGCCCGCCCAGGACGGGCTGCAGAGGGCGTGAGCCGCGGCCGCGCCGCTCCGCGGGAGCGTCTCGCCCGCCGCGGGGGGGGGGGGGGCGCCCCCGCCCCTCGTCATAATTGTATACTACTTGTCTGGGCCAGAGGCCGCTGTGGCCAGAGGAGCGAGGGAGGGGTGGGCGGAGAAGGAGGGCGCAGGGATCGGGCAGGAGGGGGCGGAGCAGGAGGGAGGGACGGTGGAGGGGGGGGGGGGGGGCCGCAACAGAAGGGGAGGCAGGGTGGACAAAGAGGAACGGCCGCGGGCCAGAGAACAGCCATCTGGGCTCAAGTCGATCACGCGTCAGAGTGACCCTTCGCCTTGGTGCGGGGTCACTCTGACCCTTGGTGCGGGCCCACAGGGGTCCCCCGATCGCCGAGCGCGGTGCAATAGTAGCGTCTTACGCGCTTGTGTTTGGTCCCCCCGCGGCCCCCAATGAGCCGCGCACCAAAGGTCACAAGGGACTGGGGGCAATGCAAACGTGGGTCAGCCAGAGCGCCGCATCCTGCAGGATCTTGCAGGGCCAGGGCTGCACCGACCTGGGCTTGGGTACAGGATCCTGCAAGGCCCGACTGACCCAGGTCTTGATTGACCCGGGTCAGTAGATCCCCGAAGGCAGCCCACATCATCATTGGTGTTGCAGCATTCCCTCCCGTCCCAGGTGCCTTTCAACTTCGGGGAACCCTCCATGTCCTGTAAATTGCAATATTTTCTTGTACTCCAATGTGGGTTCGACGCGGATTCGACGTTAATTCGACGTGGATTCGACACGGATTCGATACCGATTCGAAGCGTTCGACATGGATTCGGCATGGATGCGACACGGATGGTTAACGCGATGGGGCAGACGAGGCTACCCAAATATGCAAAAGGCCCCTCGTGTTCCACTTACACGCGGCACATCCGCTTTTTCACTGCAGCGGGCGCCGCCCGCGTGGGGTTTTGGGGATTAGGCGCAGCTGGACACATGATAATACTGCAGCGCTTACGCTTACAGCTCACAGATGACGGTATTATGGATGGGAGCCTGCTCAGTTTTGAATTGCGCAACGGCAATCAGAGTTCACATTCGATCACACATCGTTGCATAACCACAGTTCGTTTGAAAACGACTCGCTCTCCATCCCTAGTGGAGGAGGGGGAGGAGGAGGAGGAGAACGAGGAGGGATGAGCAAGATGAGCAGGAGGAGGAGGGGCGAGGAAATAGGACGAGGGGGAGGTCTTAGCTGTCATATTGTACGGATGACGCTGTGCAGGTTCATTGTGCCAGCTTCAAGTGTTGGGGGCCACGGGTGCAACATTATTTTAACACGCCGCGCAGAGTTGGTGTTGCTTGATGGAGTACTGACGCCGGGGTCGTCAGCATTGGTTTCGAGGCAGCCACAACAATTGGATCGTGCTATCCTGATTCAGGACGACGACTATTTGCCCACGGTGGGATTCGACGTACTGACGTCTCACGGGCCAGGAAGCCCATCGTCAGAACTGTCAGAATCAGAGCCATGAGACAGATCTGTCTGTGAGGGGATAAAGAGAATAATCACTCGGGGGTGGACAGAACCCCCAACAGTGACACGTCGATTAGTGAATTGTCCGTTTTCGGTTCTCGAGGGGGCGCCGTGGCCGTTATTTCCCAGGCTTGCGCCCGCCAGGTTTGGGCCTCAGGTCGATTTCACTAAACCACGTTTTACTAAAGGGGGGTCTGTCCATCCCCGAATCACTTGCGAAACACGAAACCGATTATCCTGTGGGGAGGCGACACGTGCTCGCTCCCCGCATCGTCGACGATGGAGATGTCCGTCACTTCACGGCGAAGGCTTCGTATCTGTTATACCTTTTTTGCCCTCACGTTCCTACCCAGTCCTTCCGACCGGTGAGTACCGTAGGCGCACCTGATGAGCAGCCGGCCTGCCAGCAGGTGGCCCATGTAAGTTTCCCATCTCATGAGTGGGGAGGGTGTGCATCGCGCTCAGTCCGTCATGTCCACTTTCATCTGGGCATCCTGCTTCCCCTGCTCGGCCTTTCATTAATCCCCTCATCTCCTGCCGGCTTGCCAACAGCACGTGCCTGAGAAAAGTGACGAACCCGAGGCTCGACAGTACTAAGGCGGAACTGAATGTCTGCGAAGTTGGACGCGTCTCCAACACATCGGAAGGAACATATGAGCGTTTATCAGTGTGTAGGGGTGTGTGTGTGTTCAAACTGGTACTGTGGTTGCGTGTCTCAGTATTCCGATTCACGAAAGACCACTCGCGTTCATCGTGAATCGGTCGTGGCATTGCTGAGGCATCCGACGCTAATCGTGTCAATTAGCTCCAGAGAGCAGCCACACCTGCCAGACCTTTGACGGTGAGCATCAGGAAAATATGAGCAATCAGCCCAGCGACAATCACACCAACAAGAACAGCATCCTAACCCCACGGGAAAGCTTGCAATGTCAGCCCCAGAACCACAAAGGGAGGACCCCTTTGTCCTCCTCCAGGGGAGGGGGACAGCGCTCCCGGCGGCAAAAAGTTCACGATTCTTCCCCTCGGCATTGTGATTCCCAGCCGGCGCTCTTGAACTCCTCCACAGAAGCAGCAACAAAAATACCACTCTCGCTTTGGTTACGCATGTAGCGGACGCGCAAGAAAGGGAGGGGAACGGAGGGGGCGGCCGTCCATGCTATTATTCGTGCGATGTGGAAACGCATGCTTCCTGTGGTCTTGGGACACCGAAGGGTTCATCGTTTTCGGCTCAAGATAAATTTCTTGAAGAACGAATAACGGCATAACCATACATGTTCGGAGGTCCGCGCGGATTTTTGGGATCTGCGCTGGCACCCCCTGGCGGCGCAGATCCGTCCGGACAGTCCAAAGTTTATGTTTATCAAGTGTTTGGGCCCCTCTAACTGAACGTTCATTGATTTGTCTCACGAGACATTTCCTCTTATCTTAGTATTGGAGTTCTGTTCTTCATGTCTTGCCTCCGCCCCCTTTCCTCCTTTCCCTCCACCTGTTTTCTTTTCAGGTTACTCGCATTTAGATGTGTTCATGTTCAGACACGCTCACTCTCAGATGCAACTACACGCAGGCTCACTGACACTCTGACACGCTCATACTCAGACTCATTCGCACTCAGATCAAATGATACTCATACTCACTCTCATTCAGATCATCATATAATCAGTCGAGACATGTTCGCATGCGTACGCGCATCATTCATACAGTCAGAGCCCTTGCTCGCCACGATGCAGCAGGCGCATCATTTAAGCACTCCAAGGAGGAGCCGCCAGGTGCGGGGGTGCCAGTTGGGTTGCTTGGACTTCTGTCTTTCCAGAGCCCTATGCTCATCACATTGTAGCAGGCGTCGTACTTGAACGCCCCACGGAAGAGCTACCAGGGGTGGGAGCATCTGCCCATCCGCGCCCAGATGGTCATTGTGTCTCAGGCGGTTTGCGTGTTTGATGGCGTGTGTTGTTTTTCTTGTTTGGGGAACCCCATGCTCACTGCGGTGCAGCAGGCGTGTCATTTGAGGACTCCAAGGAGGCGCCGCCAGTGGTTGGGGCAGTTGCCAGTTCGCGCCCAGATTGTGGGGATGTCTCAGAAGGTGTGCCTGTTTGGTGGCTGGCATTTCGGTGCGTTCAGAGCAGGTTGTGACAATGTCTGGAGCGAGGCGCTGGTTTCAGCACTCCAAGGCAGAGCCCCCCAGGGAAGGGGACGCTCGCTCGCTCGGCCCCTTCGAGTGTGGGGATGTTGTGGGCGGTGTGCCTATTTGGCGGCTGGGATGCCTGTGCTTCCAGAGTCGATCGTGAGGACGTCTCGAGCGAGGCGCTGGCTTCAGCACCCCAGGGCGATGCCGCCATGGGTGGGACGTGCCCCGTGCACCCTGGCCTGGTTGTTGAGCTCGCCATTCGAGCGTCTCGCGCCGCCGAAGGCGAGGCGTGGGTTGACGTGTGTCGGGGTTGCGGGCTCGCGCCTCGCGCTTTGAACCATCACTATACAGTTTGGCGTTGCTCCGGTGGAGCGCCCAGACGTGGTCGTGGTCGGAAGGCTGCTTCGCTCACCATCCTTGCTGGGCGTGTCCAGGGTGAGTCTCACCCACTCCCGCGCGCTCGCGCCCGCCCGCGCACGACGTCGTGCGCACAGGATGCTTGGCGCTCCCCAAGCTGCCGATGCCCCAGACACCCTGTGGTGTTGAGTTCTCGTTTTGAATCGGCAGCGCCCCGCGTCCTCAGCTCACCTCACTTCCTCCATTCCTTGCTTCCGCCCGCTGCATCCCTCTCCTCTCATTGCCTCCCCGCATCCCAATCCCCTCCTTGCCCATGCCCTCTGCAGATTCATGTGGGCAAACCCCTCACACATCTCGTGTCCCTCACTGGGAACTCCACTGACGGCCTCAGTGGGAAGTCTCGCATGGGGGCGGTGCCGCCCATTTCGGCACACCTCTCACACGTTTCGCGGCCCCACGCGCCGCCATCGAAGGCTTCATTGAGCGGCGAGTTCGCATGGCGACGGTGCCACCATTTCGGCACACCCCTCTCACGTTTCGTGGCCCCACAAGAGGCTCCATCGCAGGCCCCTCTGGGAAAGGTCGCGTCTCCCTTCTGCTTCACCGCTCACGCGCTTCGTGGCCCCGTAGAGGCCTGGTGGTGTGTGGGTGCCTCCTCGTTTCTTTGGCTGACCTCTTGATTTCGACTTCATCCCCTCCTGACTCCAGCTTCGCCGCCTCGCTTATGACTCCTCCCCTCCCTCCCCTCCGTCCACGCTTCATGGTAGCATCTCCCCCTCCTTCGGGCGACGGAATATGTACACATCCACTGCCCCCTGGCCAGGCCCTTACTGGGCCCAGGAGCTGTGTACACGCCCCCCTGGGGCAAGCCAGGAGGGCGTGGCGTGTACACCGCTGCTGGGTTCGGGATAGACCTGGCTGGGCAGCAGTGGATCTGTATAGATCTCGTCGCCCTACTCCTGGCTCCTGCTTCGAGTCCCTCTCTACCTTCACATCTGCTCCTCAGGCGGCGCCAGCGCCTCTGCAGAGCCCCTTAGCGCCAGGGGCTCGCCGACGCTGCTCAGGCGCCACGGCCCGCGGGGAAGGGGCCGCCCTGGGCCCAGACGACAAGCACGACCATAACGACGATTTTGATGTTGATGTTGATATTGATGTCGATGGCACTGCTTCTGCTGATGATATGGATGGTGGTGGTGATGGCGATGGCAACGGTGATGTCGATGGTGATGGTGATGGTGTTGATGGTGGTGGTGGTGGTGATAGTGATGATGGTGATGATGGTGATGATGGTGATGATGGTGATGATGGTGATGATGGTGGTGATGGTGACGGTGATGGTCATGATTGTGACGGTGATGGCTATGGAGACGATGGCGATGGTTTGTGGTGATGGTGATGGTGACGACGGCGATGGCCACGATCGTGGCGATTATAACTATGATGACGTCGATTTCGACGACAAGAAGGATGAGCAGAAAGGAGGTGGAAGCAGGTACGTAGAGAAGGACGACTACGTCAGCGGGAAGGGGGGGAATGAACCGGAGAAATCGGATTGCAGGGGGGAGGAGGCGGATTGGGAGAAGAGGCAGGAGGACGACGAGCATGGCGAGGAGCAAGACGAGCAGCAGGAGGAAGGAACCTTGGGATCCGACGTCTCGAGAAAATTGCACCACCTGGGAAAGTCACGACCGCATCCCCATACCCAAGGTTTCTGCAGCCCTTCTCGAGCTGGATATCGATCCGTGAGGGCCCCAGGGCACGAGACGGGGCGAAAAAGCGCTCAGTATGAAAAATATGCCACGCACAGATCTCGGGGAAGGTGGATCGGGGCAAAGTTTTCGGACGGTGCGAGGACAAGGATATATCCGTTGCAGAGCGTTCCGGACCGCTCTCAGAGTGTTCGGGAACGCTCTGAGAAGGCCGCGGCGCCTGAGACATCCTCCAGAGCCGCGGGATCTCAGAGATTCTCGATTCATCCTCACCCTGAATGTGTCCTCGTCCTGGCTTTGTCGTCTTAGGCAGCGCTAGGGGGGACAGGGCTTGGGGCGGGACGTACCGACCCCCAATCCCCTATTCAGGCGATCGGTGATCGCAAACATGGATCAAGGGGGCGTGGATAGCGACGGGTCTTGTTTCCATGGGGAATCGCGGATTTCCGCCGCCGCTCGAGGCGGCACCGGCCGCATGCCTAATCCATGGGTCGTTAGTCCATGTTTGCGCGCCCCCGACCCATGCATCGCCGATCGAGGCATGGTTGCCCATCCGCCCAGGACCGCGCGGATGTGCAATCGGGGGCCTGTTGCCGATGGATCGGCGATGCATCGCCAAGTGCTGCTCGCTCTTCCTCCCCCTCTCCCTCCCCAGTCGAAATCCATAGTAAGGACTCGCTGCTTCATCAAGGCTGGCCTTGCCTCCCTGCCTCTTCAGCCCATCCTGAGCCAAAGATGGCGTCAAGGGAGCTCCAAAATGTAAAAGGAACTTATCAGGGTCTTGCATCCTTACGGTAGGTTCATGCGGCGTTGGCGCGCTGGCGATGTTGGCGAAGGCGTTCAAGGTTGAATTTTGGCGACGCGGAAGCACCGATGGACATGGTAGCGCCATTGGACCCGACGGAAGCCAAGTTTGAACGATCGGGGCCGCGATCGGTTCAAGTTTGAACGATCGATGCGGTGTCAAAAACCCAAGCGCGCGCCGACGCCACACGAACTTGCCGTAAATGTGACTTCCAAGTGTCTGGCGTCCTTTCAGCGGCGAGCCTGGGGGGTTGTGAGAAGGGGCGGGCCTTCCCAGAGGGCTCGGAAGTCCCCTGGCCTTTGAGAAGTTTCCCAAGCTTTCCCCGCAGACAACTTTTCAAAAGGCCAGAGGGCTTTGAGAAGTCCCGCCGCCTTCTGAGAAGGCTTTTTCCTTTTCGCTTCCCCCCAGGCGCGCCGCTGAACGTCGTTCAAAATTAGTCCCCGCACCCCTCCTGGGGTCAATGCGACGCGGCTTCTGGATCGATTTTCGTGGGCGCCAGGGCCCGAAGACGGCCAGGGGCCGAACATCTTGAATGATCGCCCCGCACCTCGAAGTTCGTGCCTCGCAGTCCGAGCCCCGAAGCTCGCCGCCGATCCTCGCCCTCCGATCTGACTGTGCGTCTTGGCGTTGCCGTGCCCCCTCGGGGGCAGCAGCCTCCCAGGAGCCCGCCGGCGGGCGACGCTGCGCCCGTGGCGGCGTCGCCGGACCCCGTGGCCTCGAGCGATCGCTCGAGCACGGAGAGGCTCGATGGCGCGGCGCACGCGGCCCTGGAGCGCGGCGGGGGGCTTCTCTCCCTGGCCACGTCCCTTCGGCTTCCAACGGGGGGGTGGGGGTTCAGTTCGTTCGGGAGCTTCCGAGCGGAGTGACCCCCCCCCCCTTGAGAACTCGTGGGGGGTGGGCGTAGGGTTCACGTGTGGCCACCGCTCCTCGGAGGAGGAAGAGGCACCCCGTGCCGCTACCCTTCGCCCGTTTTTTTTCCTTTTTCGATCTCCTTGGAGGCTATCGTCGCCCAGGGCTCGAGCTAAACGGTGTTTTGGTGATTTCGTGGACCGTTTTGGTTTCGATTCCTTTTCGCATGACACACGTAGAACGAAGACAGAACGAAGGAACATGAGCACAAAACGAAACGGACAACACTGTTTGGCTCGAGCCCTGCTTCGTTCGTTCTCCCTTTTTTCGATCTCCTGGGAGGCTATCGTCGCCACCATTGGATTCGCCTCGCAATTCTGGTCAGAACGTACCCTGGGAGAGGCGTGGGGAGCAGCGGCATCGGTACCTTCTGATTTCCCCAGCGCATCGAGGGCTTCTTACTTTGCATCTTCGGGGGACCTTCCCTGTCCTGTAACTTGCAGTCTTTTCTCGTACTCCGAGGTGGGCTCGACGCTGATTGGGCGTGTTTTCGAGGTGGCTTCGGCACGGATTCGACACGGATTCGACTCGTTCGCCATTGACTCGACACGGGCTCAACACGGATCGCGGCGCGACAGGACAGACAAGGTCCCGGGGCGATGCAGCACAAGGTTTCGGCAGCAGCTCGTGGAGGGTCCTGCCGTGCATTAGCGTGCGCTGGCGTCTGCAGTCGATGAGAAGCGCAGAATTGGCACCGATGAGTGGGGGGCCTTTTGCGTCGCCTCGGAAAATCCCCTCGCCAGAGTGCAGATCAGCGCTGCAGCGTCTGATTGGTCGATGGTGAGAGTTAGCCCAGAGTTGGCGTCGAGGAGTGTCGGGTTGGCGTCGGCTAGCATTGATCAGCTTCGATTGGCGTCAGCGAGCGTCGATTTTGTGGTGCAGCCTATGTTGTGCACTTCAATTCTACGGACGAGTTGACACATCCTATGCTCTTGCAAACATCCCACCCACCCACCCTCTCGTTGGTTTGCAAAACCATGTGATGGCGAAAGCGATGCATGCTTGGAGTTGGCTGGTGCATCGCTGCGGTCGCGCCAACTCAAGCACGCGAACAGCGGCCAGCTAGTTTGGCGCGGCCGACGCGGCCGCGGTGGCGCTGACCGCTGGGAACATCCCAGCGGGCACTTCACTGCGAGTCGGCGGCTTGAGCGGGCGCGGTACCATGATGATAGTAACGATGTTGGTGGCGATGTTGGCAACGACGAAGGCGCGGCCAGTGCGGGCGCCGATGCTGATCACGCCGATGATGATGGCGTCCTCACGTCGGTGATGAAGGTTGTGGAAGCAGATCGAAATACGCGCGCGGCCGGCTCGCGAGAGTGGCCCGCATGGTATTATGACACGGGTCGTGCCCCCCCCCCCCAGCACGCGCGCGAGGGCGTGCGAATGGTGTCGGCATGTGGCGCGAGACGTCCGTTTTGCAGACTTCCATGCAATTGTTGGCATTTCTGGGGTTTCCCAAGATTTCGCAAGAGCGCGCGCATTTGATTTGACAAGTGGTGTTGCGAAGCCATGTGTTTTTGTATGTTTTTTTTTGACACTCGGTTTTGACATCGCTACGACACTCAAGGTTTTTGTTGGATTCTGGCATGCGCGTGCGACGGCGCGCGTGCGCGCACTTCGTCCCATGTGTTGCACAGGGTTCTCGCGACGGCACGTGCGCAAGGGCGTTCGAACGATTTCGACATGCTCGCGCGAAGCCCGTTTGGTAGCATACGTTTCTGTTTGAAGACCCGTGTTGCGAAACCTAGTGTTTGTTGATCGGTTTTCGGGATACTCGGTTTCGAACCCCCTACGACACCGAAGGCTTTTAAAGGATTTCGGCATGCGCGCGCGACGACGCGCGCGTGTGCACTTTTGCTCATTTTTTCTTGCAAGGGGATCCTGAAACCCGACGATGTTTGATAAACGAGTGCGCGCGAATAATTTGTGTTTGCGGATAATGGCGGGGGGGGGCGATATCGACCCCCCTGGGATGGTACCAATTCATACCTTGGATGGACGATGAGGCAGGATCATATGTAAATTGCAATACGAAGTGGGAAGGCGATAGCCCCAGAGGCGGTATAGTCGATTATTCTCTTTGAAGAAAAAAGAATCTACCTGATGCAATGTATGGGGCGGCGACGGGGCGGCGACGGCGGCAACAATGCGGCGGATCCGACAAACGAGCCCAGACGACGGGCCGCGACGAGGCAACAAGGCAGTGGATCCGACGAGCAAGCCCAGCCGACGGGCGGCGACGATGGGGCGACGGGGCGGCGACGGCGGCAATGAGCGGAGGATTTGGCAAACAAGGTCAGACGACGGGCGGCGACGATGCGGCGACGGGGCGGCGACGGCGGCAACAAGGCGGCGGATCCGCCAAACGAAACCAGGCGGCGGGTGGCGACGATGCGGCGACGGGACGGCGACGTGGGCAATTAGGTGGTGGAGACGACAAGCGACCCAAGAAGCGAAGTACGAAACCCGAATTCACTTCAAATATTATTCGGGGGATCTTAGACCGCACCAAGGAGCCATCCTTGGAAGCTCAACGTCGCCAATCAAGGTGACCATTGCGTCCTGACAGTCCTGGGTTGCGCAAGAGAGCAATCATTTGAAATTACATCCAAGCGAATCCACGGGCTTGTTGCGTCCTAACAAACTCAGATCTTCGCAAAACGCCGTTAACGGGACTCCAAACCTACGAATCTTCGAAATTGTTGCAAGAGTTGGGGGCGAAATCGCGCAGCGCTAACGCGAGAGTCACAGTTTGAACACAACTGGTGTTCATCTCTGAAATTGCTATCACATTTTAAGACGACTGCGCGCGGGGCTAAGGCGAGACCTCCATTTTGAACACAGCGCGCCCTCCAACATCGAATCGGCTGCAGATGTTCATGAATGTGCGCGGCGCTAAAGCGATGACTCCATTTTGGAAGCGACCCGCCATCCATCTTTGAATCACTTGCAAACTTCGAAGACGAATATGCGTTGCGCTAGGTCGAGAGCTCCATTTTGAAAACGACTTGCCCTCCGTCCTTAGGAGCAGCAGCTAATTTTTCAGACGAATGTGCGAGGCGCAAGGGCGAGAGCTCCAATTTGGAAACGGCCCGCCCTCTATCCTTGAAGTTGCCGCTTCTTTAACCTCAGGATCGTGTCAGTGGTGAGGGAGTCTCGGGCGAAGCGCCAGGCGCGGCCTCTGGACACGTCTAGGGGTGCGTTCCCAGGGGCCTCTGGCCCCCGGAGGCCCTCCTGTTGGTTCCGAGGCGCCCCCCACAGACGGGCAGCAAGAGTACACGCCCGTTCGAACCTCGAGGACGAGGGCGAAGGACGGGGGTCTCCACAGGCCCCCAGACAGGGCAGAAGACGATACAGGCATGAACAGAGGGAGCGCCTCCGCCCTCTTCTTCGAACCTCGAAGCCCCTCTTCGAGGAGGAAGAGGATACTGATCCGGAGGAGGAGGACGACGACAGCGAGGTCGAATCTAGCCCGCCGATCCTGGAAACTGGAGTCGCTTCGGCGGCGGTGGTGGCGGCGACGGCGACGACAATACGGACGTTGACGACGACGACGCCGACGATGACGACGAGACCTCTTCTGGGGTGCGTTCTGGGCAGAATTTCGATTCAGACCAGCCGTTGCGACGAGGGCGCTCTCTCTAGGCGGCGCAAGAAAGTTCCAAGACGCGAGCCGCGAACCTCGATTATCGAACCCCAGTCATGAAACCCTGGCGACCCGATCTTCGAATTGCCGAGTATGAGATCGACTACAACATTGATTTACCCAAACTTTGATCTCCCCGTCGAAGCTACGAAACATTACACATAATGTTCGTTGATCTACGGGACCTGATTTTTTTGTTGTAGATTCGACGACAAATCCGTGGCACATCAATTCTGTGGTCGATCACCGACTGGAAACCTTAAGTCGGGCCTGTCCCTCTACAGGGGGAATCTTCAGCATGTTTTGACTATTTGGGGGTATAGTTTGACTTTTTTTCCGGTTTTCCCCGAAAATCGGCCTGCAGGGGGACTGGCCCGACCCAATCGAAACCTCGATCCCCGAACCCCCGACCTCCCCACCCCTGGGCGACGACGGAGCCGAGCCTCGGCCCGAGGAGCGCGCGCTCCTGCAGGGGCAGGCCCCCGACCGGGGCGCGCCGCCGGGCGCGGGCCCGAGCAGGCGCGCCCCCCCCCGGCCCGCTCCGGATGTCTGTGTCGTGGTGCAAGGGCCGACCACACTCCGAGGCGGGAAGGTGTGCACGACCAGCGCCCGGAGGGTCAGTTTTCGGGGCCTCGGCAGGCTGCAGATGTGGACATGCTCGGGCCCCAAGGGGCCGAAATATATCCATATCCACCGCCCGCTGGGGCACCAGGACGTGTTTTTCGTTGTTGTTTCCTTTCGTGTCTCGTTGTTGTTTCAGACGCCCCGTTTGGCACCGGCTTCGTTCTGAACCTTTGCTTTAACCGTCGGGCCTCGTTTCGTTTTTCGTTGTGAACGCCATTTGGTTTTAAACATTGTTGTGGTCGGTCCCTATTGTTGTGTCTTCCGCTGGGAGAGCGCTTGCTTGTTCCCAGGCGATGACGAGCGTTACGGTGGGTGGACTAAAAGTGTCCACACGTGTCTCGCCAAGACCTTCAAAGTACGTCGGACCAGCATGTATACCATCCTTCCCCTAAATTCCAAGTTGGCCGGTTTGGACGGTGGGCCAGAGGCCAGGGACGAACGGTGGACACTTCAGCTGTGGGTTTGGGGAGAAGGGGTGCGAAGCAAGGACATTTCGCAGTTGTGGTTGTGATCATGCTGCATCGCCTTCCCGCCATGGGGCGTGGACACTCTTCGCCCAGGCACCTACCGAGGGGGGCAGGGGCGAAGGGGCCGGTAAGGTCACGGTTCGCGCCAGCGCCGTCTGGGAATGCCCAGGGATCGGCAGGCACAACCCGGAGGCCAGCACGAATCGTGACGTTGCCTGGGGTGTGGGGGCGGCTGGGGCCGGCGGTCGCTTTCGCGCAACGTCGAAGAACGTCATCTTCGGGGGTTGCCAGAGGTGCCCCTGACCCAAGGTGCCCCCCAGCTTCTCGCCCCTCTGGGGGGCCCCGGAGGCGGCCCAGGTCTTGCGAGGGGTGCTCTGGAGGCCTCCGCTCCTGGCAACATCCGAAAGGCGGGAGCCCCATTTGCTCCGCGCCGAGGGCGCCAATGCATCACCGGCGTCACCGATGCATCGCCGATGCATCGCCAATGTATCGCCAACGCATCGGCGATGCTTCGGCGATGCGGCGCGATCCGCCGACCCCATCTACACGGACCAAGTTGTGGGAGGCCTCCAGGGAAGGGATGGTCAGAGGAAGGCCAGTCGAGACAACGGCTGCCCTCCTTGGCGCTTCTCGTCCTCTTTGGGCCTCCTGGAGGCTTCTCGTCGCCACGGGTGGATCCCCTTGGAAGAACGGCTCGGGATGGAACCCGCCAGGGGCTCTGGGACCGATTTTGAGCGGAGTTGCGCTGGGCGGGTTAGTTGCCGTTTTCTGAACTCGCCTTCCTCTGAGAGGGGTCAGGGGCGGCCTAACCGACCCCTAGCAAGCCATCCCCTTACGTGACGTCCCCCTCGCCACGCTCCAAGACGTATGTATGCGGCCAGAGGGGAGCTCGAACGGCGAGGATGACATCACGGAAGGGGATGGTTTGCCGGGGGTCAATTAGGCCGCGCTCGAGAGGGGGGAAAGGATGGGGATGACGAGGAGGGTCGGCGAGGCGGCAGGGTGTAGGGGGTCAGTGGTCCAAGGGGTTCGTGGGGGCTTCCACGACCAGGTACCCCTTGATCCTCCCAGGATGGGGGGGGTCGAGATGATTCGAGGAGGAGGGTGGAGGTCCTCTACCTGATTGTTGTTGTCCTCAGGGACCTCCAGGGATCTCGGGAGGCCTTCACATCCCCCAGCCTCCGTCATCCACCGTCTTCTCTTCGTCTACCCTCCTCAGCCTCTGCCTTCTTCTCAGAGGAGCGAGAAGTCATGATAATGATACAGTTCAAGATGTGCAGGGTTTCCCAGATTCCCGAATGTTCCACACTGGCTGCAGGAACGCGGGCCGCTAGAAGCTCCAGAACGTCCAAAAGCTATCCTGAACCACTCCTTTCCAGACATCGCTCTCGTCCTACATGTTCCCCGTTCTTCTCCTTCCTCATCCCCCCTCCGCCGTCACCCTCCCTCCTCCTGCCTCCTCCCCCCGCCGCTGCCTCCGCGTCGTCGTCGTCCCTCCTCCTCTGCCTCCTGGGCAGGGCATGGCAGCTGGCGGGCCCGAGCTGCTGCTTCACCTCTCTTCCTCTCCTCCCCCTTCTCCTGCTTATCCTTCTCCTTCTCTCAGGCGATCGCAAACATGGATCAAGGGGGCGTAGATTGGCGACGAGTTCCGTTTCCATGGAAAAGCGCGGATTTCCGCCGCCGGACGAGGCGGCACCGGCCGCATTTTGGGGAGGGAGTATTTCCCCCGGTCCATGGATTTGGCGACCGCGCGCCAAATTCATGGATCGCTAATCCATGCTTGCGCGCCCCCGATTCTCTCGGTGCGATCCACACGCGTGCGGACAGAAGACCGACATCAGTTCCTGACAGAGGGCCGCCCGCCCAGCAGCGGCCGTTGCCGGTGTTGGGCTATTTGTGTTGCCGGACATACTGCTAATGTTGTTCCGTACCCATCTCGGGCGTCTAAAGCGTCTTTCGATTTCTCATCTCCCCTTCCTCCCATCCCCTCCCTCCTCCTCCCTCATCCTCCTCCTCCATCTCGAGCCTCGAGCCTCGAGTGTCGCTCGTCGAGGAATTGCGGCGGCGCTGGTGGCGACGACGACGCAGGCGCCGATGGCGCGGACGCCGACGGAGACGTCGACGACCGCGGAGACGACGACGGTGACATCGGCGGCGGAATCAACGTCGGAGTTGGCGTCGACGCTGTCGTCTCGGCTTTGTCCGTCGATGGTAGGGCAGAGGGATCTCTTTCATCATTCATCTACCTCACGGGTGCAATTGGCAACGTCAGGCCTCTAGGGTGGGTGGGTTCGAGTTATAGGCCCCCCCTCCAGTGTACATTGCACCTCTTCGCTCTAACCATGGCCACATCCTCGGTGATGCTCGTTCGATGTTCCATGTCGAACCGTGGGCGTTCGGCGTTGAAGAGACTTGGTCCAAGACAATTATTTTCATTCTGGCCGCTTCGGGCAACGACGACGTGGGCGTGGTCGCAGACGACGACGGCGTGGACATCGGAGTCGGCGTCGACGTTTTCGTTTGTGGTTTGTTACTGCAGTCTAAGTTGTGGACGTTTCGAACGACTACGTGAACAACGACATAGATGGTTTGAGCGTCGACATCTTGCTTTCGAAGCTTTTTGAGCTTTTCTGGGGGCTCTAGTCGTGACGGCTGGACGCGAATCGGAAGATTCAATAATCGCAAGCATGGAGCACGGTATGGGGACCAAAGTTTCTACTTCTTGGCCAGGGGACGGCGAACGACGAACGACGAGGACGACGACGGTCCGTTTTCTCTGCCCTCCGTCGGTCTCCTCTTTTTCCTCGGCCTTTTCGGTCACCTTCCACCTTCCTCCTCCCCCACCATCGCCCATCCTCCCGTCATTCGAGGTCGGCGTTGTCGCTTGGCAGGCTTTTTAGCGATTCTGGAGTTCTCGTCGCCACGGCGAGACTCCTCTTCCTCCTCGGCCTCTTCCGTCACCTTCAGCCATCCTCCTCCACCACCGTCGCCCCTCCTCCCGTCCCTCAAGTCGGCGTTGTCGCTCGGCAGGCTTCTGAGCGAGTCGCCACGGCAAGGCGCAGCTCGGGAAGCCGGCCAGGATGGACTCCAGAAGGTGTCCAGCGGCTACCGTCGGACCGAGGTACAAAGATCGAGGTTCGGTCCGGGGAGGGTACCCTAATGGTCTTCGTGGTTGTGGGATGTGTTCGTGCACCCTGGGGAGGGTACCCTTGGAGGTTCTGCGTGTTCTGGCTGGCGGAGGGTCTCGTGCTCTTGCGGGATGGTCTGCTGTCCTGGTTCGACTCCAGCTTTGAACGCACTTTTGCCATGGGTGGTCCTTGTCGCCACGGCTGGAGTCGGCTTTGAGCCCTTTCTGGGTTGGTTTGGGGACGACGACGACGACGATGACGACGCCGACGGCGGTTTTCTTCCCCTTCCTCCTCCACCTTCCCTGCGGGTGTCGTTTGACGTGTGCGATTCGTGGATTGCCGATCCGCCCACACTTCTGGGCTGGGGGCCGGCATGGCTGCCCTTACTCCCCTGGCAGAGCTCAGCAGGGTGAGTCGTTCGAGGTCCTTGACCGACCGACCTCCCGCCTCCCTCCCTCCACCCTCATTTATCCTATCCACCTTGCACGTTCTCCTCCTCCCCCACTCCTGCATGAAAGAAGACCTCAATATGAACGTTGTTTTGGCGGTGCCGTGGAACCGTTTCGTTTCGATTCCGTTTTGCAGCACAGGAGGGGCGAAGACAAACGGAGGGAAAACGGGAACAACACGAAAACGAAACACACCGTTTTGGTCGAGCCTTGCTTGAGAGCGGAAACGGTTGAGGTCGTAGCCGGCACAACTGGGCGGGCAGGCAGGGAGGTGCGGGCGCGCACGCTCTCCTTGGTGCCTGTTCCTCTCCCCCCGCGCTTTGCGCGCAGGAGGCGAAATTCCGACGAGCAGGAGGAGAATCTCACGAAGCTGCGGACCGCACAGGACAAGGGCCACACGCCCTCCTCCTCCTCCTCCTCCTCTTCCTCCTCCACCCCATCCTCCTCCTCCCCATCTTCCTCCTCCTCCTCCTCCTTCGTCTCCTCCTCCTCCTCCTCCTCCTCCTCCTCCTCCTCCTCCTCCTTCGTCTCTTCCTCCTCCTCCTCCTCCTCCTCCTCCTCGTCCTCCTCCTCCTCCTCCTCCTTCTCCTCTCGCCAGGAAGCAAACAGGCTCTGAGGGAAACGGGACCCGAGGTTGTCGCCGTTCTCGGCCTCCCCAGGACCTTCCACGGGCCCCAGCACTGGCACACCGCTACCCTGGACGAATTACAGTCGGCCCAGATTAGTAGGTCGACCCTGCCAAATCAAGGGTACCCGTGTGTCCTGTGTCTCGCGACCCATGCTTCCGACATTCCTGTGGCAATGTGGCCCTCGGAAGGGTCTTGTGTCCTCTCGCGTGTCCTGTCCGATCGAGTCCGACTGTATCCAGATGGCTCTGGCAATTCCGCCGGCGTGCCAGCGCAGCATTCTCTGGGCGGCAGCTACTCTGGGAGGCAAGGGGGCCTTCTTGGGGCATCTCAGGGCAGCAGGTCCGGCTCGAATTCTGGGTTCGTGTTCCCACTCTTGCGTGCTTCTTGGGGCCATTTTGGGGCCCTTTTGGGCAGTCGTGGGCGCCTCTTGGGCCGTCTTGGAGTTCTCTTGGGGGCCTCGTGGGCCGTCTCGGGGGGGGTCTGGGGGTCCTTCTGGGCCGTCTTGCAGCGTAGGTCGCTCGAAGAGGCGAGAACCCCAGAACACATCGAACAAGCTACGGAAATTCAGTGCTTGTTGCATCTTGGGGCCCTCTAGGGAGCCTCTTTTGGGGTCCTCTTTTGGTCCTCTTGGGACCTCCTGAGCCCTCCTGGGGCGGGAGGCTCGAACTGTCGTTTCGTGTTCACCCTCGAGGGCCCTTCTTGGGGCCGTCTTGGGGCCCACTTGGACATTTGGGGGCGTCTCTTGGGCCGTCTTGGAGCTCCCCGTCCTCCCTGCCGACAGGGTGAACCAGAGGGGGGTGGGGGCGCGAGGACGTCTCAGGCGAAACGCTCGACCTGCCCTACCGACACGTCTCGGAGTGCGACAGGGAGGACTGCGAAGTCCTCGTGGCAGGTGCCGTAAACTCTGACGGGGGACGGCGGCGGCGTCGACGACGACGCTGACACTCTGGAGCCTTTCGTGGTTCCCCTTTGGGAGCCTCTTGGGCCCTGTTTGGGAGCCTCTTGGGGACTTCTTGGAACTGCCTTGGAGGGGATCTGAGGCATCTTGGAGGCATGTAGGAAAGTACGCATAATCCCGCAACAGCAGATAGGAGTGATGAGGGTGCCTCAGGGGGGCTCCGACAGGAGGGGGGGATCCCCCCTGTCCACCCGACCGACACGTCTCGGAGTGCGACAGAGAGGATTTAGTTGCGAAGAGAAAGGATCAGGGATGATGAGAAGAAAACGCAGGAGGGGGTGATGCGGAGGAGAACTACTCTTCTTCAGGAGGTTAAGGACTTCATGAACATGAAGGAGGGATCCACCATCCGGGCCTGGCTGCGGCACTTCGACCTCAACAACGACTTGAAGATCAGCCACAAGAGCCCCCCGTGTGCTTCCGGGAGGGAGGAGCTTCGGTTGCCCGCAGGTGCGCGAAGATGGCCGTGCATCGTGCTCCCCGGAGCAGGCGAGAAATTTGTTATTCTCAGGGGGCCCGAGGGCGCGACTATAGCCGCCTATTTTTCGCAGCGTGCAGCGTCATTCCAAGTCTTAGTTTCAATCTTCATGTGGGGAGGAGTTGTGAGTTGTCCAAGGTGTTTCCAGAGTATCATGGGTACTTCCCTCGTTTTGGGGCTGATGAGCAGGAGGAGAGGCAAGAGCGACGCGCACGCATTTGTAGGGAGGGAGAGGGAGAGAGAGCGAGAGCGAGAGAGAGAGAGAGACAGGGAGAGATAGAGAGGGACAGAGAGAGAGAGAGCGCGCGCAACAATTCGGCGGGCTGGAGACCGTCTGGCGCGAGACCTGGAAGTGCCCTCGACGTTAACCTCATGTGGCGGGAGGTGCCGCGTGTGCGATCAGGGGTAGGGCTCTCCTGACTCACCCCTGGCGCGGTCCATGGAGACCCCGACCGGCAAGAAAAACAGGCTTGTGGCGATCAGAGCGTCCGTCTGCACACCTGGGCAGAAGGCACTGGCTGCACACACGCTTTGGCATGCGCGATCCGGCACTGGTGACACAGACGGCGCCGCCTTGTGCCCCCCCCCGCGGCGGCCCTGCGCAAACGCTACGGGAGAATCGCCTGCAGCTCGCGCAGCGCACTGAGAGCATGGTGAGGAAATCACTGGTGTGCGATCGTTGGTTAGCATCGAGGCGTGCCTGGCGGTTCGCCTGGGGAAAGGCCCCGAGGGGAGCGGTCGACCGGGTCTGATAACGACCGATCCAGGCGGTCTGTGCTCATTGGGATATGTCAAGGCGGGGTCCTGATTGTTCCTGGGTGCTACGCAGCTGATGACCACGTCTGGTAGCACACTGATGCGTCATCATTGGGCTGGTAGTGTTGGCGGTCCCGCGGTCGGAGTCGGCAGGTTGGCTGATGGCCGTGAGGCGTTGCGTGGCGCGCCTCCGCTCGGTGGCCTGCACTGAAGTCAGTCGGGTGCCTTCACCTTGGTAGGTGATGCTGGAGCCGTGAGGCCGTGGTGCCCTCACTCTGTTCTCATCATCTGCAGTTGGGTTGGCTGTGCTGGCCGGGCCGACCGCGCCTGGTGGCGGCTGGGCCGGCTGCTCTGGCAGCCTCGCTCGGTCGGCCTGTCGAAGTGCGTTGCGCTGAGGGCCTGGGCGTGCGGCAGCACAGTCCAGCCCGTGGGGTTGTGGCGACGGCACTGGTCATTCCAAGGGCCCAGTCCGCTCCGCGTCACCAGCCCCGCGCGGGTCCTCGGTCTGGTCGTAGGCGCCTGGGGCAGGGATCGGGTGGTCGCCCGCCTGAAACAGGCGTGCAGACCGTGTGCATTCTCGACGGCAGGGGGGTGGGGGGCGCGGCGGACGGTAGTGGACAAGCTACGTTCCGTTTGGTCAAACCTCTTTGCAGCCTGAGGTTTGTTCGGCCTGACGCTTGGGGCGAGTTCCTGGTGGCTCCCCGCGTCCGGGGGCGTCCCGTGCCGTCCCGTCGCACTCCCGCCATGGTGGTGCATAACATGTCGTCCAGATGCTCTGCTCATCGTGCCGAACCCTTCCACGCACGTCACTCTCGTGGATGTGCGGCTGTTGGTCACGTCAGTGCATCTGGAGGTGGTGCTGCACGTTGCAGTGCTCGTCGCAGGCGTGGGTGCGAGGCTGCTGGTGCCCACGTGCGCGAGCCCTGGTGGGCGGGCCATGGACCTCGTTGCACTGTTCGTCGCGCTCCGAAAGGGTGAAGGTTTTGATGTTGACACCCGTCGAACTGTTGGACGCTGCGGTGCTCCACCCCCTGCCGCTGCCAGCGTCAGGGCGATGGTGGCCGAAGTGCAGCTGATAGACGTAGTGGTGCTGGGTCCCGTCGTACTGACCAACGTCGTTGTATTCGACTCCGTCGCGTTGCACGGAGTCGAAGTACTAGTCGCAGACTTGCTACTGACGGGCATGATGTTCAATCGCCGCTCATCTCGCGCGTAGGTGCAGGGCTGTTGAGGCTGGATCCCGTCGATTTGCTCGACGTCGTAATTGTCGATTTCGTCGTGTTACGCGGTGTCGCGATGGTCCCAGACGTGTTGCTCGACGGGGTGCTGCACGTTGCACGTCTCGTCACACTCATAGGTATGGGGCTATTGATGCAGAGTCCCGCCTTGATGCGCGACGCCGTGATGCTTGGTGCTACCGACGCGCTCAGTGGCGAAGTGTTGTTTCCTGCCTTGCTACTCGGAGGCGTGGTGCTCATTGTTTTGCTCGTCCTACTAGTTGGTGCAAGGCTGTTGGTACTTGATCTCGGCGTAATGCTCAGAAAGAGAGAGAGAGAGAGAGAGAGAGAGAGAGAGAGAGAGAAAAAAATGACAAGAGAGAGAGAGAGGAAACAACAACCAACAAGCACAAGATAAGGGGGGATAACAAGAGACAAATGATGGAGGGAGGGAGGGAGAGAGAGAGAGAGAGATGAACTTGACAGGGATGGATCGGGAGGGAGACGGAGAGTTGGGGAAGTGGAGAGAGGGATGGAGGAGGAGGAGTGAGGGAGGCAGGGAGAAAGAAAGAGAGAGGGGGGGTGTTCTTTCATAGGTGTAGATATCTAACAGGGAGAATGGGGAGAGAGCAAGACAGAGAGGCACATATATACATATATATATAGAGAGAGAGAGAGAGAGAGAGAGAGAGAGAGAGAGCGATAAACAACAAAAACGCAAAGCGACAGAGAGAGAGAGAGACACAGAGACAGAGAGAGAGGGAGCCGCTTCGTCAATCCCCCGTTTGATTACCGCCCCAGTAGGCCACCCCGAACAGAGGGAGAGATCCAGGCTCCTTTTGTCGTCATCTGCTCGGGGCGTTGGGAAATCCTGGGACTCTCCGCACTGGGCCATCTTGGAAGCTCCTAACGCCTCGCGAAACCCCGCCTCCAGACCCAGGGAGACGGGGTAAAGGGGAGATGTGAACCGCTCCCCGAAGGGACAATGACCCTGGAATGAATACGTAGCACCCCGCAATTGCGGATAAGAGTGAGGGGGCGGGCGCGGGCGACGCGGGCGTCGTCGAGCCGGCGGACCTCGTGGCCCCCACCTTTCTTGTCGATGGCGCTCTCCTCCTCCTCCTCCTCCTCCTCTTCCTCGTCCTCGTCCTCATCGTCATTGTCATCTTCCTCCTCCACCTCGTCCTCCTCTTCTTCCTCGTCCTCCCTCTCCCCCCCTCGTCCTTCCATCATCGTCCGCCCATTGTCGTCCTCCCCCTCATCGGCCTCCATCATCGTCCTCCCATTGTCGTCCATCATCATCATCATCATCCATCCATCCTCCCCCTCCTCGTCCTCCTCCTCCCCCTCCTCCCCCTCGTCCTCCTGCTCCTCCTCCTTTTCTTTCTCCACATTCTCCTTACATCCTCTCTTCTTCCGCGTTCTCCTCGTCCCCTGTTTACTCCTCCTGCCTCCCCCTCCTTTCCCAAGATAACTGCAACGCAATCCTTTTTTCCACTTTATGCTCCCCGCCTTCTCTGATCAAGGCAACTCGCCAGGGCAGAGTTGCTGGACGGGCTGGTGTGGATGCGCGGGGCTTGAAGAGGTCCTTGCGGGCTCAGACGGCATGCAAAAATCCGCCGCCGCGCTTGTGCGGCATTGGTTTGTTCAGTGAACGTGGTTTAGGTCGCGGGTGGGTCGCGGGCTCTCCACCTCCACCTGGAAGGAATGCAAAAGCAGCCCGCCGCAGGCGCCAAAACAATTGTTTGTACACTGAACGTGGTTTGGGTCGCGGGTGGGCCGCGGGTTCTCCACCGGGAACGAATGCAAAAGATGCCCGCCGCAGGCGCCGAAAAATGTAGTTTGTACCCTGAACGTGGTCGCGGGTGGGCCGCGGGCTCTCCACCTGAAACGAATGCAAAAGATGCCCGCCGCAGGCGCCGAAAAATGTGGTTTGTACCCTGAACGTGGTTTGGGTCGCGGGTTGGTCGCGAGTTGGTCACGGGGTGGGTCGCGGGCTCTCCACCTGGAAGGAATGCAAAAAAAACCCGCCACAGGCGCCGAAAATGGTGGTTTGTACCTTGAACGTGGTTTGGGTCGCGTGGGTCGCGGGTGGGTCGCGGGGTAGGTCGCGGGTGGGTCGCGGGTGGGTCGCGGGTGGGTCGCGGGTGGGTCGCGGGTGGGTCGCGGGGTGGGCCGCGGGCGGGTCGCGGGGTGGGTCGCGGGGTGGGTCGCGGGGTGGGTCGCGGGGTGGGTCGCGGGGTGGGTCGCGGGGTGGGTCGCGGGTGGGTCGCGGGTGGGTCGCGGGTGGGTCGCGGGGTGGGTCGCGGGGTGGGTCGCGGGTGGGTCGCGGGGCGAGTTGCAGGTGGGACGACGACAACAACAAACAACAACAACAACAACAACAACAACAACAACAACAACAACAACAACAACGACAACGACAACGACAACAACAACAACAACAACAACAACAACAGCAACAACAACAGCAACAGCAACAGCAACGTCAACAACAACAGCAACAGCAACAACAACGAGAATCCGCACCGCGGAATTCCACTTCAGCCACGCAACCAGGGACAGTGAATGACCGTTCGGCCCCTTCACTCTGACCTGTACGATCACCCTTCGGGTGAGACGGAGGCTGGGGGGTGGGAGGGGGGGGAAAAAACCAACTGCTGGTAAATGCAATGGTTGTATGAACTACCTATACGGCCACCCTTCGGGTGACAAGGAGGTTTGGGTGTGTGTGGGGGGGGGGGGGGGGAAGAACCAACTGCGGGCAGATGCGATGGGTGTGATGATTGCGATGCTGGTGACGCGCCCTCGAGTTAGCGACGACGCGTGATGACGATGTTGCGCTGCGATGTACTGTCGCGATCGTCCCTGCTTGCGATCACATTCGAGCGATCTCACTGTAGATCTCGTGTTCGATCTCACTGACCGATCTCACTATCGATTCCTCGATCGATCTCACCATCGATTCCATGACCGATCTCACAACCAATGCCACAATCAACCTCACTGTCGGTCTCAGATCTGATTTCATTATCCATCTCATTTTAGCGACTTCATTATCTATTTCACGATTGCCTTCACCATTGATACCAAGGCGGGACACCCCCGGCCAAAGCCCGCCCACCGCCGACGGAACACCGACGGTACAGCAGCTGGACACCACAGGGCACCACAGAACACCATGGCGGGACGCCCTGGCCCGCCGCGCGACCGCCGGAGGCGGAGGGGCGGGCCACTGCATCCGAATCGCCCAGGCGACGGCGGGGTCATTCCTTTCGCGCGCCCACGCAGCTTCGCCTCGCCCCCACGCACGAAACGAGTTCCCGGCGGGGGACTCTCAGTTCCATTGCGGTCCCACCCCCCAAATTCCGAAAACCTCAAACCACCTCCGCTCAACGGGCCGGATGGATTGGTTCGCGACGTCGGGACACTCGGGAGCTCTCAACCTCATCCAAGGACGTGCTTTCCGTCGCGGGACGTGTCTTTTGGTGGCCGGGCCCAAAATCTGAAAAGAAAGAGGCCGTACTATTCGTTCCCAACACGTCGGAGTTTCTGGGGGGGCAACGGTCGGGGGAGGAAGGGAGGGGTGAGGAGGGAGGAGGGAGGAGGGGGATGATGAGGTGGAAAATAGAGGAGGAGGAGGAGGAGGAGGAGGACGAGGAGGAGGAGGAGGAGGAGGAGGAGGAGGAGGAGGAGGAGGAGGGAGGAGGGAGAAGGGAGAATAACAAAGAGGAGGAAGAGGAGGAGGAGGAGGAGGAAGAGGAGGAGACGGTGGAGGAGTACGGCGAACAGGAAGGAACATGAGGATGGAGGAGGAAGATGGAGGAGGAGGAGGAGGAAGATGGATGAGGAGGACCAGTGTCAACCCACGAGTCATCAACGATTTTGGAGTAAACCCGCCCTCCGAGCTCCCTCTTTACAGGCCCCTGCAATGGTTCACTTCCATTGAGGTACTTGCTTCGTTGGAAGGCACCCGTTTGAAGACCCTGAGGCATGCCAAAACATCGTTCTCGGGATTCCAAAGCCACGGACCACCCTGACTGTTGCGTCTTGACGATCCTGAATCGTAGCGTAATGCCATTCCTAGGACTTCAACACAGAGAATTAACGTAACTGTTGCACCCGCATAATCCCGAATCCTTCGAAAACGCCATTTCTGGTACGCTGATGATGGGAACCCGTGAAATTTTTGAACATGTTGTAAACGAATGTGTACGGCGCTATGACGAGAGCCACATATTGAAAACCACCCGACCTCAACCTGTGAAATTGCTGCAATGTTTTAAAAGAGTGTTGTGCCGGGCTAAGGCGAGAGCCACATTTTGAAAACGACCCGCCCTGAATCCGCGAAATTCTTGCAATTTGTTAACACAAATGTTTGCCGCGCTGAGGCGAGAGCTACGTTAAAACCACTCGCCCTCAATCCGAGAAGCTCACACATTTTTCAAACGAATGTGCGCGGCGCTATGGCGAGAGCCACATATTGAAAACCACCCGCCCTCCGCCTGTGATGATGTGCAATTTTTACCACGAATGTGCGCCGCGCTAAGGCGAGAGCCGCGTTCTGAAGACCACACGCCCTCCACCTGTGAAACTGTTGCCAATGTTTAAGACGCTGAGGAAGTCTCAGGCGAAACGCCCGGCCCGCCCTAAAAACTGACTTAGGCGTGCAAAAGGGAGAAGTTATCTACAAGGAACAGGAATGGAGGAGGAGGAGGAGGAGGAGGAGGAGGAGGAGGAGGAAGGGGAGGAGGAGGGGGAGGGGGAGGAGGAGGAGGAGGAGGAGGAGGAGGAGGAGGAGGAGGAGGAGGGAGGAGGAGGAGGAGGAGGAGGGAGGAGGAGGAGGAGGGGGAGGGGGTTGAGGAGGAGGAGTAGGAGGAGTAGGAGGAGGAGGAGGAGGAGGAGGAAGAGCAGCAGGTCGAGGATGGCGAGAAGGAGGTGGAGGAGGAGAGCGCGCACGTGCAGCCAGCAAAGCCGCCTCTGCAGCGAGTTCGTCCGGGGCCTCAAGAAGCTGGACTACCACGGCGACCCCTCTGCGGCGAGCCGCGGGCGGCGGAGAAAGCCCAGGGCACGGGGCCCACACCCCAAGGAGCAGGGCAGAGGAGGGCCAGACAGGGCCAGGGCAAGGATGGCTCCGCTCCAGACCGCTCCGGAGCGCTCTGAGAAGGTCGCGGCGCCGGAGATATCCTCCAGAGCCGCCAGATCTCAGAGATTCTCGATGTATCCTCACCCGATGCTGTCCTCGTCCCGGCTTCGTCTTAGAGGGAGGAGGACAATGATCTACGGACGCAGGAGCAGGAGGGTGACGAAGCGAGGATGGCTTTTGTGTTCGGCTGGAAGCTGGTGCGCGCCGTTAAAGGAAAAGGAGGCGGCAGCGAGGAGGCCGTGCGAGATGCGCGGTCGACTCCCCCCTTCCCTCCTTCTCCTCCCTCCTCTTTCCTGTTCCCCCTGCCCACTTCTCTCATTTCTCCTCCTCCTCCTCCTCCTCATCATCATCATCATCATCATCATCATCATGATCATCGTCATCATGTTCATGATGATCATCGTGATCATCGTTATCATCAGGATCATCGTCATCATCATCAACATTATCATCATCATCAGCATCATCATCAGCATCATCAGCACCATCATCACTATCATCACTAGCATCATCATCATCATCATCATCATCAGCATCAGCATCAGCATCAGCATCATCATCAGCATCACATTCAGCATCAGCATCATCATTATCATCACCATGACCATTACCATCACCATCATCACCATCATCATCAGCACCATCATCAGTCTCACCATCAGTCTCATCATCAGTCTCCTCCTCCTCGTTCATCTCCTCCTCCTCCTCCTCCTCCTCCTCCTTCCTTTCCTCCTCCTCCTCCTCCTCCTCCTCCTCCTCCTCCTCCTCCTCCCCCTTGAAATTAGGAGGTTGCCTGGCTTCACAGCAGCGGCGGCGACTGTCAGCGACAGGGCACGCGTGGACAACGCTGCCTTGCGGTGGAGGGCAACACGAGTGCGGCGCCCCGCGGCGCACCATCGCGTGCTCGCAGGTCTGGCCACAGGTCTGCAGTCGCCGTCGGGCCGTCGTCGTCGTCGTCGCTGTCGTCGTCGTCGTCGTCGACGTCGCCGTCGCCGTCGTCGCCCCGTCGGGGGTGCTCTCCCCAGGCGGAGGCATCGGAGGATGCGAAGTCCGCACGGAGTGCTCGGTTTCCGCCTGGGCTTACTCCGTCAGGACTGAGCTCTTCCTGACGGGAAGCCAAATTCACACGGAGCAGGTCCGCACGGTGCGCCCGTGGGGTGACGAGAGCGACTTGCGCCCGTGGGGTGACGAGAGCGATTGGTGAGGCGGCCTGCGGGCGGGCTCTCGGGCCAGGCGGCCATGGGAACTCGTGGGCCCTCGGGCCGAGGAAGCACTCGCGACGGTTGGCGCTTCGTGGTCACCGCCCATGTTGGAGGGGTGCCGTGCTTCGCCCGCGATCCCACAGGCCTCCCAGATGGGGTCGCTGCCCCTCCCTCGCTTTCCCCTTTTCGGGCCTCCTGGGAGGCCCTCGTCGCCACCGCTGGAGTCGCCTCGAAATCCTGGACAGGAAGCACCCCGGGAGAGGTCCTGGGGCTCCCCAGCTGTGTTCGCAATCCGTTTTGTCTCCCCAGCTTCGTTCGCAATCCCCCAGGCCCCCCAAATGGGGTCTGATCAAATGGTGTCGGAGGATCGCTCCGCATCGCCGATGCATCGGCGATGCGGTGCAATATGGAGCCCGAAGTTCTCCACGCCGACGTCGCCGAGGCATCGTTGACGGCGCCGATGCATCGGCGATGCATCGCCGAAGCATTGGTGATGTGGCGATCTACCTCGATCCTATCTAGGAGGCCTCTGTTGCCTCGTCCGCCGTCGTTGGCGAAGGCCCAGGTGTGGAGGAGGTGAGGCGGACGTGTCCGCAGTGGCAGCAGTGTGGCCGCACGACTCGCTGAAATGCTCAGCCGCGCGATAGATGCCTTCGCCGATGAGCGCGCCGCAAATGTGCCTCCACCCGCCGTGCGTGGCGGGGAGCTTGGCCCTGCTACGCTGCAGGGTTGGCGTGGCCCATCACAAGAGGAACGGAGGGATGGCATGGCCGCCTTTGACCTGTCGACCGCGGCGCGAACAGAACAGACACGCATTTGTTCGTTTGTTCGTAGTGTTTTGGCTCAACTCACGAGGGCTGACCAGCGCTAACCCCCAGTGACTGCTTGGCAGCAGGTCCGTGGGTAGACAGGCGCATAATAGAACAGCATCCAGCATCCATCTTGTCTTGATTCGGTGCGGGCCCCAGTTCCGAGTGTGTTGTTGTTTCTTGTTCAGATGACTGTGGTGACCTGTCGACCACGGCGCGAAGCCTGGTCGACAGCAGCTTCGAGCTCGGCCGATCGGCGCGCCGCGGCCCACAGAGGGCGTGTCCACAGGGGGCCGAGGTCGCCGACGGCGGGCCAGGCGCGGCCGCTGCAGGCAGGACCAGCTTTGGGACCCGGCTGCCTCGATTGCCGCAGCCAATGGAAGGCGGCATGGCGCTGGCAGGGGCAACGACAGGGGGACCGGACCGGGCCTGAGGCTTGGCACCGCTCGGGCGTGAGCACTGTGCCTCGGCGGGGAAGGGACGTCCGAGCGATGGCAAGTTGTTTCCAGTCAGCGAGGGGAGCGCTGGGCCGATCGTCGCGCCGCCCGCCGTGGGCGAGAGGCGGCCGCCGCTGCCGAGCAGCCGCGTTCGGCGGCCAGCGGCCCGCCTTCAGGGGCGGGCCCCGCGTTGGCGGGGCAGCGCGGGCCGTGGCTGCTCGTGGAAGCGCGGATGTTATAGGCTTCCCAGATGGTCAGGCGATCGCGGATTTCGATTAGCGACCGATTAGCGACGGATCCGCGTCGTCGTCGTCGTCCTTCCTCTGCCTTCTGCCCTGGGCAGGGCATGGCAGCGGGCGGACCCGAGCTGCTGCTCCACCTCTCTTCCTCTCCTCCCCCTTCTCCTGCATATCCTCATCCTTCTCTCAGACGATCGCAAACATGGATCAAGGGGGCGTGGATTAGCGACGGGCCCCGTATCCATGAGGGGAAAGCGCGGATTTCCGCCGCCGAGCGAGACGGCACCGGCCGCATTATGGGGCGGGCACCTCACCCGATCCATGGTTTTGGCGACCGCGCGCCAAATCCATGGATCGCTAATCCATGTTTGCGCGCCCCCGAGATGGGGTTGGAGTAGATGGGGACGGACCGAGGTACAAGATCAAGGTCGGTTCGGGGAGGGTACCCAATTGTTCTTCGTGCTTGTTGGATGTGCTTGTGCACCCTGTTCCCTCGGCATCGTGCATCGGCGATGTGGCGCGGTGCGGCGCCCGATATTCTTCACGACGACGACGCCGATGCATCGCCGACGTCGCCTATGCATCGGCGATGCATCGGCGATGTGTCGGCGATGTGTCGGCGATGCGGTGCGATCTCCCGACCCCATCTACTCGGACCCCATCTTGGAGGCCTCTTACAAGGCGAGCGGATCAGCGACTGGTCCCGTTTCCATGTAGCTTTGTCGCCAGGTCAGGCGGCATTGGCCCCACGTTTAGGGGGGGGCCTTCCTCGATCCGAGGACCCGACGCCCACGCGCCAGATCGACGGATCCCCAATCCATGTCGGCGTGCGCCCGAGCTGGTGGGGGAGCACAGGCCTCCACCCGACCCGACGACGGTGTGGCATAGGTCGCCCACGGGGTCGCGGAGACGAACGCGTTTCACGTATCGCGGCTCGGGCTGGAGAGTGCTGGAGCTCCGTAGCTATTTTGGCTCCAGCCATTTTGGCTCAAGCTATTAGCTCGGGCGCGCGCGTGCGGGCGCTTGGGCGGAATGGCGCGGGAGTGTCTGCGAGGCGGCGCTGGTGAGCGTGCCTTGGCAGACAGCCTTGTCCAGAAGCTGGTCAAGGAGCTCGAGGAGACCAAGGCCAAGTTGGCGCAGGCCCAGGAGCAGCTGTGGGCCGGGGGCGCGGGCCATGGCGGGCGAGCCGAGGTCGCGCGTCGCGAGCGCCTGGCGCGGCCGGCGCTGGAGGCGCGTGTCGCAGGGGGCGTGGAGTCGGGCGCGGCGCGCAGCGGTTGATCCGCAATGTAGCGCTCCACGCTCGGCGGTGCCTTGCGGAGGGCGCACCGCTGGCCGAGTGGCGCTGCGCCCAGCGTGGCCCAAGGCTCGGCGCAGATGGCATGGCTGATGGCCTGGGTGCCGTCGGTGCCGCCATCGCGCGGGGCGAGGGCCTGGAGGGTGCCGTGGTCGCGCACGTCGCGGACTTCGAGGCCAAGCTGCTGGCGAAATGCGACGTCTGCGGCGGGGGCCCTGCTGGCGACGAGCGCCGGGAGAGCGGCGTCGAATGCGAGGTGGCGCGGGGCCCAGGCTTCGGCGTGGAGGAGAGGCTGTGCGGCATGCCTCACTGGTATGCCATGGGTTCCACCCTTAACTCAAAGATAAGACACTTTACTGTGGTCTCTCCTAGTCCCCAGGCTCCTCAACACCCCCCCCCTCAGTGTTGATTCTGCCCTTTCTCAGGTAATCGTCGCAGGGTGTGGCCCGAAGTCCCACTCGAGTCTCCGACGTTATACAATGCCCATGGCATGCGTCCCAGTTTCCGACGCGCCACACGGTTTCTGCCAAAATGGCTACGGAGCAAAGAAGTGGAGGGGAAGTCGGGACAGGAGGAGAAGTATGAGCAGGAGGTAGAAGAATGCGATAGGATGCGAAGGGGGAGGGTGGAGGACGATGAGGAGGACAATGAACGATACATTGGGCAGAGAAAAGAAACACACTAGAACGTGCGAGTTACTGCTGACCCGCCCCCCCTTCATGACCCCCCCCGTAATCAGGAGTATGATGACGCCCCCCTTTATTTTTGAATGGTAGAATTGAGCACAAGGGGGCGCTCAGAGGTTGATCCATAGCCACAAGTGTCAGAACATGTCGGGGAAGCCACGCGGGAAGCATCGCAATCCATTCTTCTCCATATCCATGTGTGCTCAAATGTTTTCCAAGCATGGC